ATGTATATCGGTAAGGTGTCGGTAATGTATATCGGTAACTGTCGGTGATGTATGTCGTTAAGGTGTCGGCGATGTGTATCGATGGTGTATATCGGTAATGTGTCGCTGATGTATATTGATAAGGTGTCGGTGATGAATATCGGTAAGGTGTTGGAGATGTATATCGGTAAGGCGTCGGTTATGTTTACCGGTAAGGTAACTTGATCAACCTCGTCCCCAGGGCGCTTTTCCCTGGCTTTGGAGGTGGGGCACCTCCAAAGCCAGGGAATATGTATATCGGTAAGGTGTCGGTGATGTATATCAATAAGGTGTCGGTGATGTATATCGGTAAGGTGTCGGTGATGTATATCGGTAAAGTGTCGGTGAGGTATATCGGTAAGGTGTCGGTGATGTATATCGGTAAGGTGTCGGTGATGTATATCGGTAAGGTGTCGGTGATGTATATCGGTAAGGTGTCGGTGATGTATATCGGTAAGGTGTCGGTGATGTATATCGGTAAGGTGTCGGTGATGTATATCGGTAAGGTGTCGGTGATGTATATCGGTAAGGTGTCGGTGATGTATATCGGTAAGGTGTCGGTGATGTATATCGGTAAGGTGTCGGTGATGTATATCGGTAAGGTGTCGGTGATGTATATCGGTAAGGTGTCGGTGATGTATATCGGTAAGGTGTCGGTGATGTATATCGGTAAGGTGTCGGTGATGTATATCGGTAAGGTGTCGGTGATGTATATCGGTAAGGTGTCGGTGATGTATATCGGTAAGGTGTCGGTGATGTATATCGGTAAGGTGTCGGTGATGTATATCGGTAAGGTGTCGGTGATGTATATCGGTAAGGTGTCGGTGATGTATATCGGTAAGGTGTCGGTGATGTATATCGGTAAGGTGTCGGTGATGTATATCGGTAAGGTGTCGGTGATGTATATCGGTAAGGTGTCGGTGATGTATATCGGTAAGGTGTCGGTGATGTATATCGGTAAGGTGTCGGTGATGTATATCGGTAAGGTGTCGGTGATGTATATCGGTAAGGTGTCGGTGATGTATATCGGTAAGGTGTCGGTGATGTATATCGGTAAGGTGTCGGTGATGTATATCGGTAAGGTGTCGGTGATGTATATCGGTAAGGTGTCGGTGATGTATATCGGTAAGGTGTCGGTGATGTATATCGGTAAGGTGTCGGTGATGTATATCGGTAAGGTGTCGGTGATGTATATCGGTAAGGTGTCGGTGATGTATATCGGTAAGGTGTCGGTGATGTATATTGGTAAGGCGTCGTTTATGTTTATCGGTAAGGTGTAGTGATATATCGGTAAGTTGTCGGTGGTAATATCAGTACTGTAGGTATCTGTAACTTAAGGTAACGGTGATGCATATCTGTGCTGTAGGTAAGGTGTCGGTTAAGTGGTGATTGTTTGTTTCTTAAGTATTTTCTTAAGTTTTCTAAACTATTTACTGAAGAATTCCTTCCAATAATTAGATTTGAGAGGGAATCAAATGCCTACTACGGATCAAGCCGATTGTGGGATGATGGAGTTATTCTGCCTCAAGACACGAGGAAGGTAAAAATTACTACTAATTCTTTGTATGAGGGGAAGATTTGTGCAAGGATCACAAACATTACTCAGCTGACTTGTGTCATGGCAAGAGATTAGTCATGTATTTCAATAACATTTGGAAGTTCGCCTTCTGTTTCCTTACTTTGCCAAGATTTGCTACGAACTAACGAGCAGCGATGTTCTTTGGACTTTCAAAGTTCTGTCGTTCTCTGCTTACTACGAGTGGGCGTCTAATGAAGAAGTCCGAGACAAGCTCGTCTTTTTAGTTTACTGAGTCCGATTCTCGTCGTCTGATTAGTTTGTCATTCAGTCGTGGAAGATTGTCGCGAAATAGACCTTTTTAGCTTGTCATTTCAGACCACTTGATGGCTATACTCGAGAGAACTATTTCTTTCAAATATCGTCCCATGCACGTGGATTCAAGTGCATATGCAGAATTCATGAAAAGACAAAGCTAAATTCCCTTGAGAACATCACGTGGTCTGAATTGGAAAATGAAAACGCGCAAGCTAAAATGTCTATTGATCATTAATGAATGGAATTCGTCTATTCTGGCATTGAGAGCTGCTCTTAGCAGTTGGGTGTAAAAGCGAGGAATTTAGCGTTGAATTTTTTTTTGCAGTTTAGCAGTGTTGGCTGTCATTTACCGCGTTCGCAGCAATTGATTTTTCATTTCCAGAATTCACTTACGAGGATTTTTTTTTTTCGCAGTTCCTTGGTCTGAGCTTACAAGTCTCTCTTTCTTCAGTTTCGTGCACAGAAAGGAGCAAGTTTGGTGTTTTCAGAATGTGACAAATCGACAGAGCTGATGTATATTTTTAGTTGAACTCAGTAAGCCATACCAGTTGATCCGCGACGCATACGTGTTAAGCATTCAGCATCCGAGGATTACGTCATTAGGGAGATGTTTCTATGCCAACAGCTACACTTATGTGTCAACTGACGTCACATTCTATGAAGTTTCTGGAACCAAGTTCTGACGTTTGAAAAAAAATATATATATATATATCTCAGACCAATCTTACTCTTAAGTCTAATTGCTGACAAACAATAGGAACGATTAAGCATTCTTCGAACTCAGCTGGTCAGACAAAATTTCTTACTTGTACTTAGGCCATGTCCACACGAAACCGGGCATAATTACCTGATAATTGGACCACATATTTTTTATCTGCATTCGTGTGGACGGGGCCCTTAAACCGCCCTGGAGAGCGGTTTCAAAACAATGCAGTTTCGGTGTCCGGATTCACTGGTTTCGTGTGGACGGAAGGTCGATTCGTGTCGTATCTTCATATCGTCACGCAACGCTCCTCCCCACAAACGGCGTTTGTGTGGAGGAGCGTTGCGTGACTACTCAAAGGACGGCTGTGTAGTAGACTAACTCGTACTCGAAACTATTGAAACGCCTCATTTTCACACAATCTGTCTCTTTGTTATTTTATTTATTCATTATGTGCAGTTGTATAAGTAAAATATAATTCATCATTCAGAGTAGAAACAGCAAGGAAGGAAACTGAAAACTTTTGAAGTTCACAGATTTCATTTGGTGGATTGGAGGGAAATATATAGTACAGTGAACAAAATTTTTTGTTTGTCATTTACAATTATTTACTCTTTCTTTTATCTCTAATAGCATTAATTGTTATTATTTTTTGTATTCTATAATATCCGAAGTTGACCGGGAAACTTCCAAGGTTCTCTTAAAGTATTCACCACTATTACATTACCCATAATACCCATCGTCCGAAGTTGACACGAAAGCTGAGCGACTTCACAAGAATTTCTATTGTCCTGCAAGGTTAACACATTCTAGAAATTATTTTTTGTTGACTGTACTATAAAAAAAAAAAATAGAAAAAAAATTAATCGAGGTTGTGAGATTTTCTGAAGAAAAGTACTTTGTTTCCTATAAGATTAGACGGTAAAAAGATTTTAAAAACGGTTTCCGTAAAATTTCGTAAAATAAGCCACTCCAAGTATAAAAAAATCTGTTAAAAATGCCTTTGTTGATTTGCAGTCAGATTGAATGGAAATACGAAACGCATTTCCGGTAATTCGTTGAGTCCATCGGGAGCCCATAACAAGAATCTCTGCACTGCTTCGCAGACGTCACTAACCGGGGTTAAATTACATCTGCGACGCAGGCTAGTTTTCTATTTAAGTACGCGCTATTTGCGACCATTATTTGTGCCAATTGTCTGAAAAAATATTCATACAAATGTTGTATACTTCGTAAAAAAAAAAAGTCTTAGCTAAACAGTTAAAAAAATGTTCCACTCACAAAACTCAAACACAGTCATAAAACACAGTAGTTTGTGTTTATGGGAAACCAAAAATGTGTGCTTGATCCTTTAAACCCCATTTTTATCCACAAACAGATTCTCCAGAGTGACCTCCATACATTAACTTAAAAACATTGGTTAAGAGAAGTTAATAAATATCATAGTAGCTTCCCTTTAGGGATCAATTGTTAATTCTCATAACGTTTCTCTTGGTGATGCATGAATATTGTTTGGAGAAAATTGATAATGATCACCGCTGGGACCCAAAGAGCTAAATCCGTGATAGCGAGTCTTAACGGAAGTTTATTTCAAGCAAGGGTCTGTAATTTTTGCCGGAAGCATATTATCTGGTGTGAGTTGATTTACTTAAGAGGCCAGAGTTTCGATTATAATCAGGGGCACCCAACGACAGTTTCCATCAGAGTACTCTTAGATCTCGAGAAATGCATTTTGAGCGGCGCTATAAAATTTGTACCTGTTAGATCATCCTAAGGGAACTTGAGTCTTTTCGAAATTACAAGGGCTTCAGTTTTATTTCCCGAAAATTTTAGATGCAATTGAACTTATTACGAACGTGAGAATTTTTCCGATTCCTCTCCATACATTTTTGAATCGAAAAGTTTTAGGTATCCATTTTTGTACGAAAAATAGCCTAACCTGGGCGGTAAAATGTGAAAAATTAAACTTCAGAAAATCGTTGGGAAATTTATTAAATAAGCTTCGAAAATTGTACATGAAGGGAATGGTCATATAAAAATTTTTAGCCGTCCTGAAGTAAAAGAAAATTCTAGGCAACAACTGCTTCTCCGAACAGATATTTTACAAAAAACAATCGTTGGGTGCCCTGACATACTAACATTTACTTTGGGTTAAAAACATGTCGGAATGAAGTCAAAATACATATTATAAAAATGATAAATAATTCCTGGATAACTACAGTCTCACTGCTTATTTGAGGGGACAAGTTTAAATATATAAAGTGCACTGCACTCGTATGTGTTATTTACATCATTGTATTGAATACTGTGCAATTATTTGAAAAATATAAACGGTGCTTTGAGGCCCGAAAACACACTACAAATAAATAGTCACCAGAAAGAAACAACTATTCGAGCAGGGACGACTTTACACTGAAAATTACTTTATTCTGTCGGAGCCTTGTTTCAAGCTTTGTCTAGGTCAGCGCCCACACTTGATCGAAAGCCTTCATTAACCTGGGGGCTCACACTACGAGGGCTGGTTGGCAAGTTTCTGGTTTCAATTCCTGTCAAACAAACAGATATTTTAAGGTGGAGTCAGTGAACACCCCTTCAACACAAAACTTGTGTTGCCTCTGTTGCGTACAAGTTTTCCGTCTGCGATTCATACGCTTTCGCAATAAACACTTACAGTTGACTCCCGACAACTCGAACGAAAGTCAATTTCCCTTGGATTTCCATCATACATTTACTATAAAACTCGAACCTCCCGCTAACTCGAAGTAACTTTTGTTTCCTTTCAGACAGTTTCTATAATTATAATGTTTTAAGCGCGTGACAAGTCGAAAAAAGAAAAAAAACAGTGTACTGAGTCCGAAAACATTGAATATATTCATAAACAACAGTGTCAATTCTTTGTCTTTACTTTTATGTCACTCCAGTTCAAATTTAATGTCCATCCCTGTATATTAATCAAGCTTTGTTGCTTAAAAGGGGTGGTGGTCGGGGAAGGCCTGACTTTACCATAATTTTCAGGGGGGGGGGTGGGGAAGGAAAAAAAAGTCACTTAAGCCATACGAAGCGAAGCAGGCGGGGGATGGGGGGGGGGGAATCAATTCCCCACTGCAAAAAGACAAAAAAGAAACTAGAGCGGAAAATAGAAAAGCTCGATCAGAGGAAGTTGGAGGTCATACGGCCCAAGATAAAAAACAAATCTAACCTGCGAGAAGGCGTTTTTTTTTTTTCGGGAAAAGCAAGAAAGTCGAAGGACGGTAAATGAACACGCCGCCTAAAGGAACATGTACTAAACATATAATATAGATTACGAAAGTGGATTTTCTCAGTCCTTAACTATCCTCTGTTCAGTCTCGGGGTCAGTTAAAAGGGGTAGGGGAGGGGATAGGGCGATCTTCACTTGCAGTACGTACCATCGTAGTCCGGAGGTGAGATGGGATATCCGCCATTCTGAGTTCCATTACTCACGGGCTTCTTGCCATTGGCAACAGCTAATTCATAACTAGCATTGTCTCCCGGCAAACCAGCCGGATGGACTGGGGACAAACGGCCATTTTTGTGATCGTGCTCCTTCGCAGACTCATAAGGTGAAGGCCCAATCGCGCTGAGGATCACGGGAAGGTAGCACAATCCGTGAAACATTCCATAAAAGACTACACAGAAAAACACCTGCAAAAGGAAGGTGGCATCGGTAATTTAAGGCAACTTTCACCAGCTCCCCGGTTTGTCACTAATCTGACAAGACTGTAAAAGGAAAGAACAATTAAGGATGGATCATGGTCTAAAAAGTACGGCCGACTGTTTAAAAAGAAACACCATATCCACGTCTCATTAAAGCCCGTGTAGATTATTTTTTCTTGGTTAATAGGGAGCTTGACTAACAACGACGGCGACGGCAACGGCTACAAAAACGTCACTTAAAAAATGAAATCGCGCTTCCTCAAACTTTATCGCGCTTATTCAACTCGTTCAATTCGTCAAATGTTGGCAAATCTTTCTGGAAAAAGAAAAAGGAAAAGAAAGTCGTTGTCTTGTGTTCACGAAACATATATTTCAGCCCGGCGAAACATATATTTCTTACCCCCCTTACAGCCAAAGCAAAACCGTATCCACCATCCAAATTATCCAGCAAGGAGAGCCCATATCACCTCTATTTACCTTAAAGAAAGTCTTGAAAACGTACGAATTGGAAAACGCCAGTAGCACAATGGCTAAAAATGTACTAAAACCACCGTTCCATACTGCTGGTCCAATATCGCGCAAGGTTGCGCGGGCGCGATCTACAAAGAAAAACAATGTCTCTCATCAAAAAGGGACCCTTCAGCATATTTTTCACCTGTGTACCCATCCTCGGAGACCAAGGGGCAGTCAGTCGGGTCGGGAGAAAAGGCGGAACGAAAGTTTTCAAGTACGGGCGAAGGAGCTCTTTCGCCCGTACTTCAAAACTTTCGTCCCGCCCTTTCTCCGGACCCGACTGACTGCCCCTGGGTCTCCGAGGATGGTGTACAGGGCATCTTTCACACAGTTATTTTAAACGGGGATTCTCATTAACGTCGACGCCATATGGTATAGGCCATTTTCGAGTTCCAAAACCTCTCACTTTCAAATCGAGGCCAAGTTGAAAACCTTGAGGGTTTCATTTGCATGAGAATCAATGGCTTTGCACTTAGCCTCGCTTTGAAACAGAGGCTAGGGGCAACCCCAAAATAGCCTATTGACTTGATCATATTATTACCGTGTAGCATGAAAATTTTGTGGGAGTTTATTTTGCGGATTGGCGATTTTTTGTGGTTTGCGGGAACAAGATGCGGTTCGAGATGACTGAAATTTCTGGTGGGAACTAATTTTTGCGATTCTCTGTTCAAGTAGCAGAATATTTAAGTGGAAGAAACCTTAATAGGGTATTTTCAACTTTTATTTTACGGTATGTTGAGTCAAAGTTCACTCTACTTACATATTTGGGATATAATAGAGTGGTTTAATATGAAGCAGTAACAGTGAAAGGCTGTCAAAAAACCTACCGTATCGTGTGCCAGATATAATCATGAATGTGTGCGCAACATGAGACGCATAATCCACAGACAGACCAACAGCCAGTACCAGAATGATGGTGTTCACAGTATCAATGGTCAGGCCCCAGAACTGCATTGTACCAGTAATACTGACCTATAACAAGTCTTAATGTAAGTAACACATTCACGCCTTGCGTACTTCTTTTTTCGTAACAGGTCGTGCATCGACAGCAAATTTAAACTTTCAAAACGATTTTAACAGACATTGAATGAGCGAGAGTGATGACAAGAATTATACAGATAGAGGAGGATATTATTCCCCCGAGACCGAAAGGCGTGGTAGATAAGACACTCACGCCTTGCGTACCTCTTTCTTCGTAAACAAGGCTCAAAATATCGGCCGGTCAACGAACAATGTCCGGCCAAGATGACCATTTGTCCGGACAAACTTTCAGCTGGCCGGTCATTTTGACCGTTCAGGTAAATGGGTTTCAAATAAATAAGTAGAAAATATGACTGCCACTTGGCTGTGAAAACAGAAACAGAAACATCTACGTCCCTAAGTATAGTACGCTAAACAGACAACAATAAATATGGCATCAATCAAAGCCTTCTTACAAAAATGGCGGGAAACAACAAAACTCGAAAGTGGTTTTGTTATTCGCCATCTGCAAACATGCAATCAGCTGTAGTCAAAAAACTTACCAGAGTAAAGCCTACACAAGAAAAGACCATGAGGCACGTCCAAATGTTTGCGAGAACAACAAGCGTGACTAGGAATACAGCCATCAGAGCGAGGGCCATGTTACGAAAGAGTTCCTCTGAAATAACCTGAAATAAGGACAAATTTCACTACATACTTCGCCTCAACCTTTGCGGTTTCGTCCCGGTTCCAGTAATTCTGTAGTAACCATTTCAATAAACGCGACGGAGCATTACTTTCATGTCGCGCTTTTACGTAATATCAGTGTTACTCTGACCAGGTGGTAATAACATTTGAGTTCTAAGAGTGTGACCATTCAAATGAAAGCTACTGAGCAGTACTTTCCTGTGGTACAGTATATTACGCTGTAGAATGACGATTTACCTTTTCAGTCTGTGAAACAAATCCTATGGTGTGACCGTACGGTCTTAACTTCCTTTCTCATGATCGCGCACGTTGTTTTACAGTCAAAGATGCAAGAAGTAAGCAGTTTCTTCGATAAACCACACCTTCGAGGAAAGTCTTTGGGAACGAAGGCGAACTTTTACCTGAACTTGTAAAACCGTTACCTACATGCAGGGGTTAATGGGGACGATATTAAGAGTAGCGTCTTAAAACATTGTTTTGACAAAGATCCAAAAGACCATTCAGTAAAATTTTATTGCGGGCGACCAGGAGCCCGCATGAAGCCAGCGGTCATTAAGATCCTCACTTACAATGAACACAATCCGACTCGCGTTTGCAGTGGCGAATCCAGACCTTCAGGTAATTGAGGGTGGTCATCCAGAACCTGAGATAAGGAGGGGGCCCGGTCTCCAAAAAATGTTTTTGGCCCTTCATTCCTCAGTTTGGTCTAAAAATAAGGGGGGAATGGGGCCGAGTCCCCCGGGCCCCTACCCTGGATCCGCCACTAGTTTGGGTAATCTGATCACGGGCGTTTTGACCTACTATCACGTTATACTCACGCAAAGTTAACCATAAGGGCAAGAGCGTTTTGACCTTCGATAACAAGCCCGAAACTTGGTCGCATTAAGCAACCATTCGTTCTTATTACTTTTATAAATACCTTATTTGTTTCCCATCCCAGATAGAACCGTGAATATGGAAAAGCCAAGTCATCAGCAAACACCTTTTCCATCTTCTCACGCAAATCGTCCATAGCTTTTGCCTCTGTTTGTGTAGAGTCCATATCTATGTGTCTAAAATTGAAGCGACTTGCCTGTTGAAAGAAAAAGGAAAAATCAGTGGCGATAAAGGACATTGCGTGAGTGGCAATTCGTCCCATTGATTGTGATCCGGATTCTGAAATGCGAGAAAAAAAATTTTGCTAAGTGGAATCTTGAATCCCGATAACGATTAAAAATCCGGAATCCGGAGTTCAAGTTCCATTGACAAGAATCCGGTATCCAGTAACTGAAATCCGGAATCCCCGGCGTGGAATCTTGAAGCCAAGGATTCCCTTACATGGAACAAGAGTGGTGGTGACGTGCCACTTCCGGTTAATAAATTGCGCAACGTTACTATGTAAAGAATACACCATTTAACAGTTATGCGCTTAGAAACCTGGCCCTTCTGATAAAGCGAGGAAAAGGCTGGACGTATGATAAAACTGCGAATTTCTTCCTTTCCTACGGAAATTGCGCGATCGAAATTCCACTCGCTAAGGGCGAATGGGTACAAGCTTTCAGCGCAATGATTCCTGGGATCGTTTGGGTGGACAGGCGTTACTTATTGGTTAATGGTTGCCTTGGATACCGCATCGACCAATCATAACTAACGCTTGTCTACCCAAACAATCCCAGAAATCACTGCACCAAAAGCTTGTACCCAGTCTCCTTAAAGTTTCTGAAGTGGGGAGTTACAGACATTTGCGTGCATTTTCGCAATTCTGGGAAAATATTACTCATGTTTTGAAAATATTTAAAGTTACCTTGATCTCGGGGTGTTGTTGTCCGCTGACATTTTTGAACTGAATATCTTTTTGGTAACTGATTCCTGGTCCTTTAACAAATTCTGAAAGCCATTCGTGGAATTTACTCTTGTTGCGTATCTTCCCTAAAATAGAAATAAGTTCTATTCAATTACTTGGTCAAAAGGACATTTGTAAACTGGCCAACTAACTGTTGAGTCTATATTAGATAAAATCCTTAGTTTGACTATTCAAATGAAAGCTACTGAGCAGTCCTTTCCTGTGGTAGTGTTTATTGTGCTGTACAAGGTGGTTCTATCTTTAGAGTCTGTAGATGAAATCCTAACGTGTAACCTTTCAAATGAAAGCTGCTGGTCAAAAGGACATTTGTAAACTGGCCAACTAACTGTTGAGTCTATATTAGATAAAATCCTTAGTTTGACTATTCAAATGAAAGGTACTGAGCAGTCCTTTCCTGTGGTAGTGTTTATTGTGCTGTATCAGGTGGTTATAATATCTGAATCTGTGGATGAAATCCTTCAGTGCAACCATTCAAATGAAAGCTACTGAGCAGTACTTTCCTGTGGTACTGTTTATTATGCTGTGCAAGGTGGTTATAATATCTGAATCTGTGGATGAAATCCTTCAGTGCAACCATTCAAATGAAAGGTACTGAGCAGTACTTTCCTGTGGTACTGTTTATTATGCTGTATCAGGTGGTTATAATATCTGAATCTGTGGATGAAATCCTTCAGTGACACCATTCAAATGAAAGCTACTGAGCAGTACTTTCCTGTGGTACTGTTTATTATGCTGTATCAGGTGGTTATAATATCAGAATCTGTGGATGAAATCCTTCAGTGCAACCATTCAAATGAAAGCTACTGGGCAGTACTTTTCTTCGGTACTGTTTTTAATGGCATATAAGGTGTTTCTCTTCTAACGTTTTCGAGTCTGAAAATGAAATTCTTAGTATTGCCAGATTATTCAAATGAAACTACTGCACAGCACTTTCCCGTTTTACTGTTAATCTATATTGCGCTGAGCCGTACCACCGCTAGCCTGCGAGCAAGCTCTCCATTTGGGGAAGTCGTGAGAAGTCACGCGAGAGAAGCACGTGAAAGGAGACACGAATGCGAAGGGCGTGTTTCTAAAAATCATTTGACGGTGCATAATTTTTCAGCCAATGGTATTTTGCTTCGTCAAGAAGGAGAAGCTTTATTTGTTTACATCCACAGTAAATAAATTACAAATACAGACTACCTGCAAAATAGTAGAGCTAATCGAGGCAGGTAGTATGGAGACGTGTCTATTACATTATACTGCGAGCGTAAAAAGACACGTCCTGTCAGTAACGCACATGCACAACCCCGGGTGAAGCAGAAATGAAAATTTATAAGAGATTTTTGCAAGCTCTCCTTTCTTCCGCAACTCGCGGCTTCGCCGCTCGCTTGCGCGTTCTCTCGCGGGTTCGCTTCGTTCGCCATACATGAAGACCATGCTAGCAGGCTATCCACCGCAAAACAGACAAATTGAGTAACTAACATGGAGTTNTTTGTTTACATCCACAGTAAATAAATTACAAATACAGACTACCTGCAAAATAGTAGAGCTAATCGAGGCAGGTAGTATGGAGACGTGTCTATTACATTATACTGGGAGCGTAAAAAGACACGTCCTGTCAGTAACGCACATGCACAATCCCGGGTGAAGCAGAAATGAAAATTTATAAGAGATTTTTGCAAGCTCTCCTTTCTTCCGCAACTCGCGGCTTCGCCGCTCGCTTGCGCGTTCTCTCGCGGGTTCGCTTCGTTCGCCATACATGAAGACCATGCTAGCAGGCTATCCACCGCAAAACAGACAAATTGAGTAACTAACATGGAGTTGAGCTCTGGTCGAACTCTTGTCCAGGTTTGTTTCGTCTGGCCCACTTGATGTACTCCTCGTACCAACTATTCAATGAGGTGGTGACCACATACTGATCATTGACAACAACATCATGAAGTTGGTGAAGTTTGCCTTGGTTTGCATAATAATCGAACTTTGCTGTATGAGAATAAATTCAAAGTAAATAAAGTAAACTAAATAAGCAATAAAAGGAAACTGTCAGTGTTAACATAAATTAATTAATTTCCTGTGGAATCAGCCATCGGGAAATTTGCTAAACAGCCCACGAAAGAAAATTCCCTGCTAACAGAGGCCTCGTTTCTTTAGTACTTGCTGCTAAGGTGATGAGCAGGAAGGAAAGAGACCTGGGTCGAAACAGACTGTGCTGAGCATGTACACGGCTATCAAGCGACCAAACCGTCACGTGATGAACAAAGGAGACTTTTGTCTGATTGGCTGTTTTATTTTTTAGTGCTCAGTCTTCTTACCGCGCGAAAGTGAGTAAACAGAGATCTCTAACTAACAAAGTGACGGTTTCTTGTAATCCTTCTCGTCAGCTCCTCGAATGCAAAAGAACAAGGGCGTCTGCTAGCAGGAAAGAAAGGAAACTTTTACGTGTACATTTAATGAAAGTACATCAACAAAATGGGGACAAGCGTTGCGTGACGAGACAAAAATGGCTGCGAGGGAGACTAATATTCAACAGGCTCGAGAATCCATTTGGCAAAGTTACTTCCTATCATTTTACCTGTGTAGATGCTTGACTGAGCGCCATCCACTGGGAAAAACTGCAAAACATTATTGACCACAATAAGTTCAACACAATATCTTTAAGGCGCTGCAAGTAAATGATGTCAGTTCTCTGTAAAAACTAAGGAAATAATGTCTCGACCTTTCGGCGACCCCATGACGCCATTAGAGACCTTAAGCAAGGACGACGCCAGTGAAAACGCCGGTAAAAAAGTGAATTTACGTTCTTTCAAACTTAATCGCGTCTATTTGGCCCCGCTCAATACGTCATATGCAGGCGACTTTTCCTGGAGTTGAATTCTTAAGGATTTTATTCAGGTTCAAAAAGAGGAAGGAAAATTTGTCGTTGTGTGTCCACGTCCTCCGTAATGAGGTTTTAACGAGGTCTAGGTTTCACGTCGTAGTCCTGCAGTGGATTTCAAAGAAATGTACTAAAATCGCGATGCGAAATTGCGCCTTCCTGGTCGCCAATGCGACTAAAAATTTAGCCCTGGCGACCAGAATTTCATAGCTGGTCGCCAGCTAGCGACTTGTAAAGCTGGTTGTTATTGTGGACTTTAAGTTTGGGAGAAACTGATTAAGAATTGAAACCTCGAAGCTATTTGCCAACAGGTCTCTTCCTTTTTGACCTGCTGATATTTTTTGATTAAAAGTGAAACGAATCTTCTGGTTATAATACCTTCACAACAGCTACGATCAATACGAGTTGAACATTTCCAAGCCGCCATGTTGTTTTCAGCCGAAATACGGTAATTACGTTATGTACTTTGTGAACTGGTACGAGTAATGTGGCACAGTTGTGGCCTGGTACGAGCAACATGGCGGCTTGACTTGTGTTTATGTTTCGTGTTTCGTGGTAGTTATCGGAAGAAAATAGAGTTTTGATATAATCAGTGCAGTCGTGGGCAGACAGCTTTCTGTTCCTATGTTCTAGGTTAGATAGCTTTATATCTCCAAGAAGTAATTCGTGGAAAAAATAAGACTTCACTGGTACACGTACGGTTGCTTTCTGGTATCGGGAGCGAAAGTGGTGCAATTTTTGAGCATAAAAACGTCCATATCATGCATTTTTTGTTCGTGTTTAGACTTTTATTTGAAAAAAGGGAGGGGAAATTTTTGGCGACCACAATTTGCCCTCTGGCGACCAAAAATTTATACTTGATCGCCAGTTGGCGCCCGTATTAAAAAGTTAATTTCGGACCCTGGATGCACGTGCAAAGCTGTTGTTTTGATCATTAAACCTATTGTTTTTTTGAAGTCGTCGTTGTGGTCGTCGTCGTAGTTATTTAAGCTCCCTATTATCAAGGAATGGAAATAAATTAATGTGAGTTCAAAAGGAGCTTAAGTACTCTAAATTTGCACAAATTTAAAACTCAGCGAGACAAAGACTCTAGCATGCATTGAATCCTTTTTCACGTTCAAAGACGGTCTTAATGGTTTGATGTACAGCATTCCGAGGTGAGGTCGCCGAAACGTCGGGGCATTATTTCGTTAGTTTTAATACGCATTTTATTATTATTTATTACTCAATAACTTTGAACATGATCTCCCAATTCCATTGCGGAGACAAGCAATTTGGTAATTCTTACGTTCGAGTCTGTGTTGTATCAAATTGCACTATGGGATTTTTTAGATCGCTTCTTATATTGGCTATTACGAAAATGAGCAGGAACCTGGGTCAAAATTCGCCCCCCCCCCCAAAAAAAAAAAAATCCCATAGTGCAATTCGGCACTACACCGACACAGTCCAACGCACAACTTCAATGGTCAAACTGGTGTGACCATTCAAATGAAACCTCTTTTTTAGTGCTACTTTCTGCACATGCATGGCGCTGTTAAGTTTGGAGCTCTATTTTTCCGGTCTGTGAATGAAATCTTATGGTATGACCATATAACTCTTTAGCATTACTTATCTATAGCAACAGTTGCACACTTAATTCAGCATTTTAAAAACTAAGAATAGGAATTTTTTCTGAATTAAACCTTTTGAATTTTGAATTCTTGAATCGCGTTATCTAACTTTGAACAACCGGAGCTCATGTTATTAAACCACCTTGAATGTGCCAAAATGACAGCAAATTTAAACGTTCCAAAAAGCAAATATTCTAAGAAAAGCACATTGTGTTTAAATCAAACTTTTTTGCGCAGAGGTTCTCAGTAATGTGTACTATTAATAACAAAAGTAAAAAGTTTTAGATTATTGGTACATTAAAGATACCTCACGGTTTGCCATCTCGTATTTGTAACCCATCGAATCAGGCGGCAAAAACCAAATTTGATCAGTAAACTGCTCCATCATCAGAGTTCCATATAAATTAAAACCAAACAATCCAGCGGTAATGATCATCACTATAATCTGCAGAAGGATAGGAAAAAAGAGGGATTTTTAGCAATTAAGGCCACGTCCACAGGTATCCGGATTTTTTCTCCGTTTTAGCCTTCCGGCCAAAAGTAAAAAGCGCTTTCGGACACCAGAGAAGCAGGTTTTTAACAACGGTCCGCGGAGTGGAGATTTTTGAAAACGAAGGATTGTCGTTATCGTGTAGAGAATGGGTAAGTAATTTATCAAGCATGAGACGCAGGGTTTCATCACCAGATGAAACACTGAGAAAAGAATTGAAAATACGACGCGCCGCGGAGTATTTTGACGAACTTCGAGGTGTTTCATCTGGTTATGTAATACTGTGTCGAATGCTTGATACTACTTCTCAATGTTTTTGAAGGAGAAATTAAGGATGCAAAAATGAGCAGTTTTTCATCTGATTTCCAAACAATCATTAAACTTTAATTTCCTTTGTATTTTCTTAATGAATTATTAATGAGTTTGAGAAGAAATAATAAAGACAGTGATTTTACAAATTTGTCGCCATAGAGCATATCAGTAATGTAAAAAATAACTATCGAAATATCGCGATACCTTATTCCAATAACGATATTCGTATGGTTAGAAGAAATATCGCGGCTCACCGACAAATTGATGTATCGTTGCAGCTTTACTAAAAGATCCTAGCGGACTGACATCTTAGAGAAAGTTGAGCCTGTAATTCATTTATTTTATTACATTTGCGCTATTAAAGTTTAAACACCTATATTGCTAGATGAAGGTTGGGTGCCTGGAGTATCCAGGGGCTTCCACCTTTGGCAGCCAGCCCCTGGATTGAAATAACGCCCCCATGGCTGGCACAACAGCGCAACCCAGCCATGAGCCCCCGCACAAAAAACAAAAGATGCACCTGTCACACTTAAAAGTAAATTTGTAAAGGAAGAACAACAGGGAGGTGGTAGGGGGCAAGGGGGGGAAGAAAAGCTAGCTGAAGGAAACCTCATGGCATGAAAAAAAGCTGCACGAGGGAGACCTCCACACGCCAACGAGTCATGTGAAAGACGTAGCGAACGGGCATGCGCATAGCAAACAACAGCGAACCACTAGCACTGAAGGCGCCATTAGTTGTTAACTCCTTTAAATTGGATCAAACGAAAGCATTTACCTTTCCTGGAAGAGACAGCAAGACTCGTCCAAAATACTTGTCCATTATCTCCTGTAGAAGATCCCTCTTACCACACTCTGATTCGGTGTAATCATCTCTCAGTCTGATACAGCAGCAGCAGCCATCCCGTTTCTTTCCCTGCCTACAGATAATCAATTAATTATCAATTTTTACTCGCCTGAGTATACAGCCGACATATCCACGAAATGACACTTGAGGAACGCCCACAGAAATTTCATGTTCATGGCGTGTAACTAACCAGATCAGGATAGTGATTCTGATTGGTTGAAGCAAACTACCCTTGCGGCTGGCCCAATCGGAAGCACTACTTAGGTCTACGTAGTGACACGTCATCAGTATAGAATTTCCGCGCTCTTTTCTCAGACGTCATTTCGCAGGAAAACCGCGCTGGTCATGAAATGTCGACTGTTTTCTCAGGGAAAGTTTTTATGAGATACCGTATTTTCTTGACTCCTTGAAAAATTAAGCCTCTTAGTTCCAGCTACAAAAACAACGTTCGTGCTCTATTTTAAAAGTCTCTTCACTACTTCCATGTTTTTCCACAACTTTTTCCATGACGTTTTCCAATTTTCCACGACTTTAAGTTTGGCTGTCACTTTGAAAAAGTTCAAACCTATCCTTTTTTTTCCTGACTTCACGCAGTTAAACAGACACAACTGGAAACTCAGTCCGGACTGTTAAAAAGCTAGTCTTTATTTTGTAAGCTTTATCCTTTCGTTGTCATCTGCAGTTCCAACCAAATACAACTATGATTTTCCATGACTTTTCGTGACGCACAATTATATTCCATAACCTCCCAAGCTTAGAAAATGAAAGTCTTAAATTTCATTACTTTTTTCACGATCCGCCCGAACCCTGTGCGCAAAAAAAACTTAACAAAACAAAACAAAACAAACAAACACACAAACAAACAAACAAAATTGAGATTTACCCTACACCCCCCCTCCCCCCCCCGCTAACTTAAAAGATCTAATTTCTTTTTGTGAAATTTATCCTAAGCCCTCCGCCAAAATAATAATGATAAAAAAAAGAAATCATTTGAATGGTGACACCATAACATTTTGTTCACGTGTATGTATAACATGTCTAGGATTGAAAAGGTTAAGAACTGTACCTCCGGGCATCTAAAGCCAAGAACGCTGTAAACAGTGTGGCTTGAAGAGCAAAGTCTGCTAAAATTCCTGAAAGAGAGAGCCAAAATAATAATCATAATTTACACAAATACAAATGACTTTATTGACTCTGCACGGAGGAATTTTCAGAATCAATTTACAGCGTTCTTACTCCTTTTAAAATTACAATAAGATATAAAAAATTACAATGCTGTTAAACATGAATTAAGAAAAAAAATATCTAGCTAAAATAGAATCAACAATATGTCGGATTTATTAACCCTCAAGTCACCTTTCCAAAAAGAACTGTTGAAGGGACGATTTAACCTGTGGAAGGGAGGGCGAGTTATGAATGTTGCTAGGCAACAAGTTAATACTGTCACCTCGACTCAAGTTATAAAAATAACAGGTTCAACACAACAACTAAATTTCAACCGGTTGAAAAAAAAAATGTGCTTTGTTCTTATGCTGACTTACCTATTCCAGCAAAAATGCAAAATGATCTTAAGGCTGGTAAAATCTAAAGAAAAACAATAAAAATTACAAAGAAAATTAAAACACAGACTACACTAAGTAAAAACAAATACAGTGGTACTCTGCTCTACAGACACCCATATATATGGACAGTTTCATTTGTCCCAGCGGAAGGCTAATTTATATTTTCTAAAAATACCCCGCTTATTGTGGACACCGTTAATGTGGACAACGGACACTTTTCTGTGCCCCGAGTTGCAAACTTTTCTATATCGTCGATCACATTTTACGGACATTTCTTTTCTGCGCACTGTCTATAAGACCCTATAACAGAATATCTTACTAATGAAATAACCTACAACAGAAACGGGCAAGTGACCTCTTAAAAGTTGTCTGATATTCACTCCACCTGGCAGAGTCGCAAACTTTCAAGCGTCAGTACAAAGTTAAGTCACTGACTGATTCCACTGGCATGTTTCAAGAACAATTCTTTAACGGTGAGTTTAATCCGAGACTATGACTTATGATCGGGAGATTTTTGAAGGACGAACTTGTTTCAGTTGCAGTTAAGAAACTAAACTATGCTTTCTCGTTAAAAAGTCTGCTTAGTACAAAAAAAGATAAGGTTATGTGGGCAAAAGTTGGTTTCACATATGTGAAACCAACTTTTGCCCTCATTAAAACCATAAAGATTTATTTCATACACCTTTTCAAAACCCTAACCTTATAACGTACATGAACAAGTTTATTTAGTAAAACTCACAGTGCTTGCTCCAATCATGAAAGCCAAGAAATCAGTCAAAGATGTTATCGTGATAGAAACTCCCTGCAGGACAGAAAATCATGGCAAATTTTATACAAACCAATATATTTTATCATCACATTTCATCACGCTAGCTCCTCACAAGTTTCTATTCTCCCCCTGTCCACCCATGGAGGGGTTTTCCAGGGGTTCGTACACTAATAAAAATAATATCTTTTTTGTTTTATGCGGAACACAAAACCAATTTTATGTACTTGTTAAAGGATATCCATCACTCTGATTACGGCTAAGGCTGTGTTGACACTGTCAGAAGTAAAAGATAAGGCGGTGTATGTTCCAAAGCAAGCTAAAATATATTTGTTGGAAAATCGACCAGGAATTGAACTTACAGCATGTTGTAATGCTACGCCAATGGCCTCAGGGACTCCACGGTTTTTGACGAAATCTGGAGGTAAGTTATTCCACGCTTGCACAATAACAAACATGTCATCAACTCCGATACCTGCAAAGAGACATATTTCAGTTATTTTTCTTCTTTCATTTTCGAGTTTCTCACTTCTTAGCCTGTGCCATAGACAGAACTTAACTTCCGATTAAGCCTATCTGTGCAACAGTGCTAAAATCCATTTCCTGGGCTCCCACTTGTGTATCAATATTTGACCAAGAGCCATGACTGGCCTGTTAAAAATGCCCCTTTGATTAGCCAATCAGGGGTCGATTTAATAAAACTCTTCAAGTGTAATTTACAAGTATAGCTATTGTTTTCGGACCCTAAAGCAATAGCTAAGTACTCTTGTAAATTACACTTGTAAAACTTTTACCAGATTGATCCCAGGTTGAAGGGAAATTCAAAATGAATTTCCAGTGATTTGTTGAGCCTGTTGGGCGCCCCAGAAAAAAGACATTGGTGCTGCTTAGCAAATGTTACTTTCCGAGGTTAGATTGATTATCTGGATTAGAGTCAATTTAAACTTAAGAACGTAAAGTTTCAAAGGTGATAAAAGAATTGAAGTTTGAACCAATTAGACTGCATTCGTGCAGGCCTCATTATTATCTACTGTAGATGTCTTAATAGGAAAGCTTAGCATAACTTAAGTCCGATTGCATGTTCAGTGATGGTCTGAGTTCTTGTACATAGCATCTCGTACACATCTGGAATTTATTTCTGCATTTTTTGACGACTGAAAAATTGTCCGTAAGGGTTGATTTATCGACCCACTTTTTTTTCGGATCAATTTAGGTTTCCGGGAAACTGCCCACCTACCTCTTCCCTAAGCTAACATTAACACTTACTTCTCCCTTAGTGCAAAAAATGATGGCTCAGGGGAGGGGTAGGTGGGCAGTTTCCAAGAAACCTAATTCATCCTTTTTTTCATGTGCCTCCCAATCAACGAATTTGAGCTTGTGTGTTCGCTGACGCGCTGATGTAGGTTTCAATCGGTGAAATCGAGATAGAAGAACAGAGAAGATGGTGAGTTGGATTTTACCAAGTAGAAGGAAAGGTAAAGTTGAATGAACAGGGCCATAAAAAGCACCAAATCCACTGGAAAGCCCAAATGACACCCCAATTGCCAAACCAATGCACACGACTCCCAGCAATCCCAGCCATGCCTATTGAGAAATTAAAAATCTATTTCAGTTAAATGTACATGTACTTAAAATCTACATAAATACATTGTTGACTAAAAAGTCTTTTTCAAGAAGAGATCCCAACGCATCCTCTTTACGGAAGATAATTAATTATCTTCTTTATGGAAGATGATTTATAACATGCAATTTTTGCGTTGTAATAAGTGTAGTTCCACATTGTGGCTAAAACGTCTTCTTATATTCTAAGTAGCATAGTACAGTAGGTTAAAAACAATGGAGAATTAAAAAAAGTAAGTTAACAGTAAATTTGGCCATGGTTGCTTACAGCAGGTGATCGTTTACAAGAGGTTTCAACTGTAACGCTTCGAAGGGAAAACATTGGTGTTTTGGTATAAGGTGGTTGCTTATGGGAGGGAGTCACACATGGAGGTTGGATGGTATTATGAATTCTCATGCACGATGATAGTAACAACATTTAAAGGCTTTCCACATCCTACCTTAACGTTTAGGCGTGTGAATTTTCCAAGCATGATAGCCACATAAGCAATAATAAGCATGTACCCAATGGACAGGAGTTGAACATCGCCCTGTATGCTCTCCCCTGAATCCGTTTGAAATCTGTTTATTTAGACAATTTCAAAAAATAACTGTATCACATATATGGGACTTAATTTATTCGGACTGTTTAGTACTGCTTGATATTGGCACCTAAGATATATACAAGCTTTATAGCTTTTACATATTAAAAAAATCCAGCAAATACACTCTATCACCTCTCATCACCCTCTATCACTGGGACATTTCACAAAGAGATATCAACTTCATTTTGGCCCCCCGAAATTCCATACCGATAATTATGCACCATATAAAATCTGTCCACAATCTGGTCAGGTGCTTTGACTGGTTTACATGATAGTAAACACACTCTAGAAACCATTATTATTAATTTTATGCACGATAGTCAAGACAATTAAGGTCTCAGAGATGAAATGTACAGTGGGCTGAATCTACAAAGATAAACTTAGTCATTTACAAATAGAGTCATAGAGCAGGGAGATACATGAACATTGTAGAAGAATGGAATGAGAGAGAAAAATTATTGTGGAAGGAACAACTTAACTGAACTGAGTGGTTCTCTCACGCCCTGGACAAGAGGCAACAAATACTCTGACACTATGACACTCGGAAATACTGTAAAATTCCGAAAATTCAAAGACCCTTTTCGAGGGGCTTATTTTTGCAGGGGCTTATCTACAGAGGGAAATTTGCATTTCCAAATCGATTGGGCTAGCCTTATAGTTGGAGGAAAATTTACCATTTTTGCTTTGTTTTACTTTGTTTTGGGGGGCAATGTTCCAAGTACAAGCCCCCGAGGGGATTATATTTGGAGGGGTGATTTAACATAGGGGTCTTTGCGTTACCGGTTTGGGGGGCTTATATTTGGAGGGGCCTATACATGGAGGGGCTTATTTTCGGAATTTTACAGTATTAAAGGAGCTGTGTCACGAAATTCAGCCAAAGTAGGTAATTACAAAATGCCGGTTAAATTAAGAGAAACATAAAAATAAGCGCTTAAAACGTTAAAGGAAGGTTCAAATAACACCACAGATACAACAGATGCCACGGATGGGCAAAACTGAAGAAGATTGAAACGGATTGAAATTAGGGTTTTTGAAAACTGTTCAGCCTAACAGTTTTTCAAAGCTGATCTCTGCTGTTTTCAACTTGAAAAGTAATGCTCAGGAGACATAATTGTTTGTCTCGATTCTCTGCTTGTGTCATTTACAAGTAATTTCTTTGCTTACTTTAACTTCCATAGAGATTGAGGGCAAGTAACTGGCAAAATTAAACAAAATGAACTGGACTGCCATAACACAGCCCCTTTAATTTTACAAAAAGAGGGAAAAGTTGCTGTACTTACTGGAGTTGACTGTAATACAACAGCTCCACTGGAGAAAGATCAATGCTAGACAACAGGTCATTGAATGCAGTTTCCCAATCTTCAGTCATTTTATCCTCCTATTAAAAGTATTGGTAATTGTGAGGAATAAATAGCTTCAGACCTCTACCAACTGTCATTGAACCCACTGAGGTAAATCAACAGAATCTATACGTGTGTAACCTCAGCAATACCCAAACCAACAGTTCATAACCATACCCATTGTACCATTAAATATGATGAGGCAAAATTTAAAGGTCATCTAGACTGAAATTTAACTGACTTCATGCTTTCCAAAATACGGATTTTTTGCTTAATATGTCAGCCTTAAGTGAAACGACAATTGAGACAGCATGGTTGTAAAGATTTTCCAAGTTTCAGCCAACAAGGGAATGGGTAAAATAAAGTAAACTTGTCAAGTTTTCACTCAAAAACTTTTTCAAATTCATCATTGCATGATTAGCGCGTGAAGAGCAAAACACCTTAATATCACAACCATGTTTACATACTCTTGAGCATGCAAACATGACTCTTGGCCAATCAAAGCAGTTGTACTATCTTAGTTATTTTACAAAATGTTATTTAAGCCCCAATAGTGACCAATATCAATTTTCTCCTAACTATACAAATACATTATCTATAGAAAAAGTTAAGAGAATTAATAAAATGATCACTAAGGGAAAATACTTAAATCTTTTAACAAATTCTCGCAACTAACTTTTAAGAAAATGTATGGAGATCAGTCTAGAGAGTTTGTGTGTTGATATTTAGAAAAGAGTGGGAATATATGCTTACCAAACGTCCCTCAGCTGTGTTCAATACAGGATTGTATTTAATTCCATAAGCTGTTATTGATGCTTCAGCTTTCACAATGTGTTTTGTTCCATTACGTTCAATCCCGCCAATGTACTGGGAAAGCACAAACTTCTTGTTGGTGACAGGGCTAAAATTAAAAAAAAATTATTAACTTAATTAACCTTGAATTTAAGAAAACCTACAAAGTCTGCATTTAATAAACACTGAGGGACCTGTAGATTCGAGGACAAGAAAGACTACGAAAATGAGATTTGACTTAAGGTTTCTTTGCTTATTGTCAAAAAATGTGACCCTCCACAGGACTTTGACACTCTGACCACATATTCAATGTACAGTCATGTAACCGATTTTGCCATTGTGATCATCTGGTCAATATCATTGTACTTTTAAATTTAAGGCAAAAAGGGTATGCTGAGCTGAATACCGTCAACTCTTGCCTTGNTTAACTTAATTAACCTTGAATTTAAGAAAACCTACAAAGTCTGCATTTAATAAACACTGAGGGACCTGTAGATTCGAGGACAAGAAAGACTACGAAAATGAGATTTGACTTAAGGTTTCTTTGCTTATTGTCAAAAAATGTGACCCTCCACAGGACTTTGACACTCTGGCCACATATTCAATGTACAGTCATGTAACCGATTTTGCCATTGTGATCATCTGGTCAATATCATTGTACTTTTAAATTTAAGGCAAAAAGGGTATGCTGAGCTGAATACCGTCAACTCTTGCCTTGTACACAGCCCGCTATAACAGACACCCAGATAATACGGACAGCAGCTAAATCCCAGGCAAAAATAAATATTATTATAGATGTTTGAGTAAAATACCATAAAATTCCGAAAATAAGCCCCGGGGCTTATATTTTTCAAAGACCCTTTTTGAGGGGCTTATTTTTGGAGGGGCTTATATTTGGAGGGGTTATATTCAGAGCTGCTTATCTACAGATGGAAATTTGCGTCTCAAAATCGATTGGGCTAGCCTTATAGTTGGAAGTAAATTTACCGTTTTTGCTTTGTTTTACTTTGTATTTGAGGGCAATTTTCCAGTTACAAGCTCTGGGGGCTTATATTTGGAGGGGTGATTTAACAGAGAGTTTTTTACGTTACCGGTTTGGGGGGCTTATATTTGGAGGGGCTTATACATAGAAGGGCTTATTTTCGGAATTTTACGGTAAACTCCCACTGTTACGGACTCTCGCTAATGAGGGCAGTAACTCATGATCAAGGTCCACCACGGTGTCCGCTATAAAGGGATTTGACTGTAGTCCCTTCCACAGTTTTTTCAACTTTTGACAAAGACCGCTTAGTAAAAAACCATCGACACCGCTCAAAAGAGCCTAAAAAATAGCAAAATTGCCAGGTTTTATATAAGATAGACTTGTTGATACGAACAAAGATATAGCCTGGCAAAGTTACAAAATTGTACTGAAGTTTGTACATAGTAAGGGGACTAACTTGCCCCCCCACCAAACGAACCACCTTCGCTCACTAAAGATGTATTACTTTCAAACTTGGCAAGTTTCCTAATGTTTGGGTACTTTTTTCAGTGGTGTTGACAGATTTTACCAAATGATCCTATCATCAAAACTTGCAACATCAAATTAAGGTGGAAGGTGGGTCTATTGCAACAGTACAGTATAATATTTTTACCTTATGATTTCCTGTTGATTAATCTTTCTCAAAATATCATCTTTGCTAAGCTGATTTATCACAGTCTCGTTAAAAGACCAAAGCTCCAACAAACCATTAATCATGCAAGTAGGACCCAGCCTAAATCAAAGAATTTAAGAAAATTGAAATCAATACACTATTATGCATAATTCACATTGATGAACAATTAAATATTACTACACTTGCTACAATCCAGTTGAAACTGAGGGACTAATTTATTAATTTAATAGGGAGTGAAGAATCTTGGCAGGAGAGGAGAATATCATTGGAGCAACTGAAGAAAACAGGGAGCCATTTATAATGTAAGGTCTTACAGAAGTAGCTTGTTAGTGGCTCGCTAGGCATGAATTTGAAAGGTAAGTCAGCAAGGTACATGTAAACCGAGGATAAAATTGGCATGAAAAATTGGCAGTTTTGGTTCCTAAAATGTTTTGAGCTAAAACCTAGAACAATTTAATAAACATTTGACAGGCACCAGGTTATCCATGGAACTTATCTTTAAATAACATTTGATGCCGTTTTGACAATCCCTCTCAATCAGCAGGCAGTCCTGGAAATAAAGTCTGCAGAACACTTACCTAAAACATATTTTCTCCCAAGCTAATTCTGTCCCATTGCCGATCTTCAGGACCTTTTTGTGAATCATCATTGCCTATTGATAAAAAAAAGGGATCAAACACCGTCCTAGAGGGGAAAGGGGGTGGGGGCGGGGGGGACTACTCGATCAATATTTTGGTATAGGTGAGCCGCTGAGGGTTTGACTCAAACATTATTTTGGTATCTATGGGTCGTAAGGTGAGCCGTAGCCTGCAGATACAGCCATTTCTCCTAGCTCCTTGCCAACAGGAACGTTTCGCCAGGAGGAATGTCTGCGACTCAGCGACAGAAATTCCATACTGATGACGTAAATCAATATNCTGCAGAACACTTACCTAAAACATATTTTCTCCCAAGCTAATTCTGTCCCATTGCCGATCTTCAGGACCTTTTTGTGAATCATCATTGCCTATTGATAAAAAAAAGGGATCAAACACCGTCCTAGAGGGGAAAGGGGGTGGGGGCGGGGGAGACTACTCGATCAATATTTTGGTATAGGTGAGCCGCTGAGGGTTTGACTCAAACATTATTTTGGTATCTATGGGTCGTAAGGTGAGCCGTAGCCTGCAGATACAGCCATTTCTCCTAGCTCCTTGCCAACAGGAACGTTTCGCCAGGAGGAATGTCTGCGACTCAGCGACAGAAATTCCATACTGATGACGTAAATCAATATTTACATAATAAATCTGGTAGATATGGGGTTCCAAATGTAAATTTGTTTGATTTTATGTTTCTCCTGGTTGATTATGGTAAAGTTTTGTGATCTCTTGCATATGAGCTCTGGCAAAACTCAGATGCTTTTTCTACAGGAGAATATGTTCTAGGAATATTGACTGTTTTGTAATAGATTCATTACATTTACATTTGACATTTGTGGCCTTTTGTCTTTTGTCTGTCATTTGTAAATAATAGGGAAAACAATATAACTACTATATCGACCAATCAGAGCTCCTGACCAGATTCCAGACAAATTTTACATAATCAGTATGGAATTTCTGTCGCTGAGTTGCAGACATTAAAAACTTAATGATAGCCCTGACAAACTCACGCAATATTACATACCATGTTTAGGAGAGAGAGGATGAAAACCATACCCTGTCCAGCGGTACATCCCCATTTAGGCCATATAAAGGCAGTACCCCCTATGGGAACACTCTCCTTGTAGCTATCAGAACTATCCACAGCAGGATTAGCTCAGTTGGACCTAGAGCTATCCACCGGCTAAATCACTATCCAGCAGATAAGTATTAAGGACACCAATTGCCCTATCCAGTGGATATAGCGCTATCCACCTTTTTAAAAACTGGGACCTAGTGGCTAGCTCTATCCAACTTTTGATCAACCACGGCCTGATGTATTTATCCATCTCTTAGCTTTTCACTTACCTCTTTTAAAATAGCAGGAGTCAACACATCCCCAGCAACAAGTAAAAATCTGGTCACACGTCTATCTGTTGGAAAATTTTCATCAACCCAATCCTTGTGTTTTTGTGCTTGAGAATCTCCAGGTGTCCATAACTTTTCCCCACGACTTTCTTGAGTAAATCTGACCAAGCCAACCAAACATACTCCAACAACAAGAAGTGAAATTAGGATCGTGATCCATGGGCTTCCACCGACAGCTTTTCCCAGTCTAAGAAATAAAGGGTCAATAAAAATATTTGAGCCCGATATGGCAAAACAAGTATTTAGAACCAATGCAAATTACTATCGTATATGAAGTAGTTCTCTCAAAATCTATCAAACAAAAACCAAACAAAAAATCCAGCACACCCATTAAAAGATCGCAGTCTTGATTGATTATGAAGTGGGTTTGACCATCAAACACCAGAAGTGAACTTTTTGGCAAGTTTGACACCCAAACACGACATAACTTTATTATTGCTTTGATTCAGTTTGATCTGTTCAATTGAGCTCTAGAGAAAAGGGATTTCATTTTTGATATACTCTAAGCACAGAATTTTTGCATAATGCCATTCTTAAAACAGAAATTTCTACTTAAAGGATAATAATTTGTCTTGTTGCAAAAGGCCCAATATAACAAAAGCTTTCTGAAACACCCAAAAGTGCACCGCACTGCTGTTAACAGGCATGTGAGAGTGTCACTTGAAACATGTTGCAACAATACTCATTATTTAAGCACCAATCACAAATTTATCTCCAAGCTGACTTCATCTAGATTTGTACCAATCTCTGTTTTCCTTTCTCACCAGGGTTCTTGTCTTTTGCATTTGAAACCAATATGTTGTAGCTTATAGCGCCCAGTTGGACAATCAACAAAACCAACTTTAAAAATTCAAATGTTCCATTGGCAAAATGCTATGGTGTGTTTGGGTGTGCTTTTATAATGTGTGAACCCTGTAATGAAAATCAACTAACATTTGAAGTTCAACTGGTTTCGAATACGAACTTTCCATCGATTACATCATCATCTTGGGATTATAAGTGAAGGAAACAGTTATGTACAGAACATTTGGATATTTTGCAAAAAATATACATTCAAATAATGCAAAAGCTCTGTCAGTCAAATAAATAAACGCATCATTTCAAACACACCAACACTTTCAAACTGAATTATTCTCCTTTCAAAAAAGTTACTCAGCATGCAATAGTTCAGCGCTCATGAACGATGTTTCTCATGTCACTGAATTAACATAAATTAATTTTAAATAATAGCGATGACATTATCTTCAACATCAATAAATAGAGATGCGAACAGCCTATATTTCTATTCTCTTGTAAATTGAATATCTGACATGATTATTTCAACCAGCTGTACTTTCAAAATTACCTCTTTCAGGCTCACGAAAGACGAGAAGTCGACCGAGAAACAACAGGGAATTTGTAGATCCGCCATATTGAAATTTTGTCAGCTTAGGACACGAAATTGTAACACCAGGGATAATGCTGTTTTCAAATCCAGTGGAGAACATCGAAGAGACTGAAACTCATTTTAAGTTCGGAAATTGACTTGGAGAATTGTCAGGTGATGGGATTGATTACTTTCGTTCCGCTAATCCGCCATGTTGAAAGTTTTGATACATGCGTTAAGCGGGTTAATATTTACCTGCGGTAAGCTGATATTTGATATTACGCAAAAAGTGCAAGTGGTCTGTTTGACGCTTTGGCCATCGTCAAGATGTTGGGATACGATAGCCGTTATAACGTCTATATTGACGTACGCGCAGGTGTTTTAACTTGAAGGACAACCACCACAAAATAACAATTATTTTTTGAGCTTAATTATTTTCCGGATTTTTAAGAAGCTGACAGCCAAGTTGTTCCACTGAAAAGAATGAATAAGTCAGTGTTAACACTTCACATTTTCTTCCATTTTTAAAAAGGTTAAAGTCTACAGAATGTAAATTTTATTACCGAAAAAGATTACGTAATGTACAAATAACACTCAACTCGAGCAAACTTTCAGTAAGGGAATAAAAAATAACGATATGAACTTTCCTTGAAAGTATCAACCGGTCATTAGTGTGTCAAGAGTTGTAGTTGTTCTTTCTTATGTTTTAAAGTATATAATGACTATAAAAGATAAATTCTGAGACTCTTCATTATTTGACAGATAAGCTTAAGCTTAAGGAGAAAAACAGTCGATGCTATACCTACCGGTAAAATCCTTTTTCCATGGATCCAGTAATAAAATTGCTGATTTTTGTAAGACATTGACAACCACCCTTTTTTGTTTTAACATCTTGGGAAGGCTCAGCCATTTTGAGCACTGTTTTGAGCAGTTATCCTCGATCGTGCGATCGGTTTTGACGTAAAGGCATAAACTGAACGCTTGCAGTTCGAACTGTTTTTCAGTTCAGTGCGCAGGTGTTAATAAATCAGCAAACAACTTCTCACCGGGGGAAGGGTACGTCAATCTTCGACTCACCGCATCGACTATTATATTACTTTAAACACGTCTGCGATTCATTTTTTTTATAGATTTGTTTTGCACGGATAGAAAATCGTGTAGGAACATGCAAAACAAAACAAAACAACACACACAAAAAAACAGCTGTAAATAGACTGGATTGCTGAATCGGCGTTTTTACTTTTTGTAATATGGGAGGGGTCCCAGGGGCGCTCGCGAGTCACTTTGCTCACGTTGGGGAGGCACGTGTCACGAAAATTATGACTAAGCACTTGTTTTATTTCACAATAACAATGGCACTATAACAAAAGTAAAAGTAAAACCGTACAAAGTAGGAAGAGCGATTGTTGTTATCATTACATATATATTTTTTTGTCTCATGTGTGAATGTATTCTGACTTTAGACTCATGATTTTAGGCACGGTATTCTCTTTTCCTTGTACCATAGGAGGTCACCTAAGCGCGAAATAGATGGTACTGTTGCGTAACCTTCGAATTTGACCAAGAAAAATAACTTCTCATGACTTCACAAACCTAAAAATATGAATCAAAATTTAAACTGAAAGCTGCTTCTCTTTCTTAATGTCAATTTATCTTGTTTCTTAGAGCAGTCAAAGCCCAATTGTGGACGTTTCAACGGGTTTTAGTAGAGCTCTCAATATAGCATTTCCTACAAGTTTTTAGGCTCAGAGAATGGTCAGATAATTAAAAGAACTGCGTATTTGTGCAATCAAATCATGGTTAATAAAGTTCAAATGTAGAAGACAGTAAATTTCTTTACAGTGGTTTTCGTCTGTCTTTTCCGTACAAGCAGGAGCTCCTGGTACAAGGCATTCAAGCTATAGCATTCCATGCATATCCGACTGAACAAACCATCAATGACCGAGACAGAAGGTTCCGTTAAGTTATTCAGTCGTGAAGAGTGGATACTGAGAGGTCCTTTCATGCACACTCTTGCCACAATGTATTAACAAAAACCAAAAGATTCATACGCGGCACGTTCAGGGATCCCCTACTTTCTTCCTCACCCTCTCCTCGCCCTTTTACTCGCTCCATTTTTCGCTAGGTCTTTGACTCTCGTTCCTCACGGCTTTCTTTGCTCCGAAACCGCAAGGAAACGCTTGCTAAGCAGGCTACATAGGATCTTACCCTCTAGCTATTAATTCTTGTTTTCCAGCTCCTCTTTAAAATAAAATAATTCAAGAGCACCTGATCGCAAGTGGCCTGTCGGAAAGCAGCTGACATTTCGAGACGCCACTTAAACCAGTGTTGGCGTAGCGAAACGTCGACCGGTTTACATCACTGTAGTTTTGCCTTTGATTTTTGCCGGCTTTCTTAACCAGTTTCCTCAGTTTCAGGGTTTAAGAATCGGAAGGTCCTTAATTACTTCTGTTTTGCTCGAATAGAAATACATCCCGGGAGTGCAAAATATGCCTCATTCAGTACCTGAATCCTGTACCCTTTTTTATATATTTATTTTAATTTTAGCCAGAACGCTAGATTTAAATTTTTGTTATTATTCAACAGTTTATACTTCTGTAGATGTATGTTGGAACATACGACATGCCAAGTTAAAGTTTTATTCCTTTCCAGAAATGCGTTTATATTTCCTCGTTTCCCTCGTTCCTATCACCGCAGAAAGAGGAAATGAGTTTAGACTCAGACTCCCCCCTGTTCATCATTTTGAGAGAGACTGGAACTCAAAACAATATGGCGGCAATGGCGGTTAAGAAGGACGTTCGATAACTCTTAAAATGTTGTGAGAGTTTTTCAGTATTTAAAAGGCAGCTGTTGCCATTAGAATGATTTTAATTCGAAGATGATAATACTCCGCTCGATTCTGGTTGAAAGTGTGCTCAGTAATGACTGACAGCGTCAAATCAAGAGTTGAATCCATTCGTGGGAAATTGGTCGAATTAGTCCGTGAATAAGCTTGCTATGGAAGGAACTAAAGAGCAGAATATTGTGGAAGATTTAATGGCAGAAAAGCAGGCTATTTTGGAAGAGCTGGCTCAGTGTAAAGCTGATAAAGACTTTGTTTGGAATCTGTGGCGGAGATTACAATCTGCTCAACCCGATGTTACCTCGGTCGTCAGTATGGTAGTCGCTCGAGAAAAGGAGAAAGGCGAGGAGAAAGATAAAAAGGTTTTGGAAATTTTGCAAGTGAAGGATGAAAAGATCAAGGAATTAAAAGAGAGGATATTAGCGGCGGAGGATGAGTCTCATTACAGTAAAACACGCTACCACGACCTGTTGATCGAAAACGAGGAACTCAAGCAAAAATTAGATGAGATACAGAGCGAGTTCTCGGCAAAAGAGAAAGAACTTCGCGAAGAAAATGGCTATTTGACCAGTTTGCTTACAGCTCATCAGGCGCAGAAGGAGGTGGATGATCAAGCCGTTAAAGAAAATCTGGATAAGATAACAGAAGAGAAAAATCAGCTGAAGTTAAGAATCGTAAGTTTGGAGAAGCAAGTTAGTGATTTTAGTGAACAGAAGTTAAACATGGCTTCGGCGATCGAAGCGAATGCAACTTTAGAGGAAAAGATTAGATCATTACAAAATGAGGTCAGTGAGTTGACATTAAAAAGCGCTGAAGTTGCAAAGAATTGCGAAGAGGCTGAATCAAAGTTAAATGAGAAACAAAACGCGGTCAAAGAGCAATTAGAGTCATTAGAAGAACAGTCTAAAAAAATTACAGAACTTGAGAGTGATTTAGTGGCAGTGAAAAGTGAACTTGAACAGGCGAAGGAGAGTCACAAACAGGCTGTTAGTCATATAACGGAGCAAGAAAACGTTATCAAACGCCTGGAAGAACTTCAGGCAAAAAATCAGAGAGATGCTATCGACCACGAGCAAGAATATCGCAAAGGACTTGCTTCTCTGCAGAAGTCTGTGGCCGACCTTCAAGCACGTTGCTCAGTTTATCAGGAAAAGGAAACCAAGTTACTGCAAGAGATCGAGAAGCTGAGAGAATCTTCAGCCAAGTTAACAGAAGACGTTAGAGTTAAAGAGTTGATTATTGAGGAACTAAAGGATGCTGTCAGAGGTGGCGTTCGTTCGGAAGAAGTTTCAAGACGCGAGGACAGACTACATGAATCAAGCGAGCACGACCACAGGATGCCTCAGAGAGACATCAAGAGAACACAAGATTCCTATTCTCGAAAAGGGCTAAAATCGAAGAGCGCGGAACAACGACCAACGGACGGCTCGGATGAAAGTATCGAGGAACTCAGATCGGAAATCGCAATGACGAATCAAGAGACGGAAAGAAAACTGAAAAAAATAACAGCTCTCGATGAGCTTGAGAACAGGCTAAGTGAAAGCAGGAAGCTTATAGATGAACTGAAGAAGCTTCTGGAGCTCAAAGAAGCGGAACTTGTAGAGACAAGACGCGCTCATTCGCAACGGCAACAGCGCTACAGAATGCTGAAAGAAAATTACCAACTTGTGCTAGAACAGATTAAGACTTATGAGGCTTCAAACGCTGATCGAACCGGAAGTGGTTCTCAACTTCCGGTAAGACTGGAAGAGCGAGAACTGCGACATTTGGATAGTGACCAAGTCTGGAAAGAGTTGGCTTATTATAAACACGAGTACGAGGCTCTGGCGAAAGAAAGGCATGATGTTTTGGAAGAGGTGGATGTTCTTAGAGTCCAGCATGCTAATGATCTGGCGAATGTCCAGGAGCTCCGTGTTCAAATTAGCGAAGAGAAAGAGGAGAACTCTTCGCTGCGTAGCAAGATGGCGGCGGGAGAGGAAGCCTTTGACGCGCTCCGTCTTGAAGTGGAAAAGCATGAAGACCAGTTGCAGAGTTGGCAGGAAAAGGCTCTCCAAGGACAATCGTTGAGTAGCGACCTTGAGGAACAAAATCAGTTTCTGAGGCTCGAAATAAAGGCGTTACAAGAAAAAAATCAAACACTCACTGAAGAATTCAGTGGGTTAGCAGATGAGTTTGAGACTCTAAATAGACGTTATAATGAGCTGTCAAACAAAGCGGAGACGAGCAAAGTTACAGAAAAACAAAATGTCGTTGGTAACAAAGAACTGGCCTCTCAAACTGTTAACACAGATTCTGAAATTGTTAAGCAGCATGTTGAATCGCTAAGTAGTTATGATGAACAAGTAAGGCGTATCGCTGACAGAATCTTACGTAGCCCTCCAAAAGACGCTGAAGAAATACGAGCCACGCAAAGTGTGAATGTCACGCAAGGAATCGGTGTCACGCAAGGCACGCAGACAGATGACTTCCCTCGTTTTGTCGATTCAAGTGTTAATGTGAATTTAGACGCCGATGAAGTCTTATCAACGGACGAGGAGGACACCATTGCTTTTAAAAGCAGTGTAAAGAAGGGTAAGGTGCCTGTTCGTAGGCAGGAAACTCCGCAGCCTAAAAAGGTGGCGAAGAAAACGCCGCGAAGAAACGAATGGGCAAGCATGAAGCAGCGAATTCTAAGCTTGACGCAAGAAGTTTCAGCACTTCGGCAGTCGAAAGATAAAGCTGTTAAGTCGCTGAATCTGCAGAGGAACGATTTCGAGAGCTTGCAAACGGAGTACAATTCCTTGCTGTCTAAACTACAACTTAGCAGGAACTCGGTGCAGCATTTGACTGACAACTTGAAGATGTGCGAGCGAAAGAACGAACGTTTGGTAGCAGAGTTGAAGGAGCAAAAAGAAGAAGATGTGAGACCGACTGCACTCTCGATTGCAGAGTGGAAGNACAGAAAAACAAAATGTCGTTGGTAACAAAGAACTGGCCTCTCAAACTGTTAACACAGATTCTGAAATTGTTAAGCAGCATGTTGAATCGCTAAGTAGTTATGATGAACAAGTAAGGCGTATCGCTGACAGAATCTTACGTAGCCCTCCAAAAGACGCTGAAGAAATACGAGCCACGCAAAGTGTGAATGTCACGCAAGGAATCGGTGTCACGCAAGGCACGCAGACAGATGACTTCCCTCGTTTTGTCGATTCAAGTGTTAATGTGAATTTAGACGCCGATGAAGTCTTATCAACGGACGAGGAGGACACCATTGCTTTTAAAAGCAGTGTAAAGAAGGGTAAGGTGCCTGTTCGTAGGCAGGAAACTCCGCAGCCTAAAAAGGTGGCGAAGAAAACGCCGCGAAGAAACGAATGGGCAAGCATGAAGCAGCGAATTCTAAGCTTGACGCAAGAAGTTTCAGCACTTCGGCAGTCGAAAGATAAAGCTGTTAAGTCGCTGAATCTGCAGAGGAACGATTTCGAGAGCTTGCAAACGGAGTACAATTCCTTGCTGTCTAAACTACAACTTAGCAGGAACTCGGTGCAGCATTTGACTGACAACTTGAAGATGTGCGAGCGAAAGAACGAACGTTTGGTAGCAGAGTTGAAGGAGCAAAAAGAAGAAGATGTGAGACCGACTGCACTCTCGATTGCAGAGTGGAAGCGCTTAGAAGAAGAACTGCGATTGGCCACAATGGAGTGTATTCGGTTGGCAAGCATTGTCAGAACGCTAGGGGGCGAGAATGAACAGCTCAGAGCAAGGCTGAAGGAATTACAAGACAATAATTCAAGGCTTGAGCACGCTGTTACTCAGAAGAAGACACTCCTCGATGAAATGAAAACCAAGATGAAACTCGTGGAAGAAAAAGCCAAGCAAGACTCAGACACGGCAAAGAATGTGGAAGAGAAGTATTATCAGCTTAAAGAAAGGGAGAAAACTAACAAACTACGAATTGAAACTCTTGAGCACCGACTGGATGGGGAGATGAGGGACAAACAGAAATTTCGTCAAGAACTGATGAACTGCCAGGAGGAGCTTAAGAAAAAGACTCAACAGTTAACAAGGTAGGGTCTCACTGACGTAGAAGCACCGAGTTTCTTTAACCTCCCCACCCCCTCCCCCTCACATTCAAGGAAGCGAGATGTTTGTAATAGCCAGGGGAAATTATCGTACATCAGTATGCCTGGTAAATGACTTTCTGTTCTAGCGAGCGGGAAGTTATGCTATCCAATAGCATAGCCAGCCTGCGAACACAGACGTATTTCCGGTCGTCGGTTCTTTCCGGCACTCGAAAAGAAACATCTGCGAACCCGAGCTGCCAAATGGTTTTTGTGACGTAGGACATTTTAGCCAATCACAGTTTAGCTCTTAAAAACCAAAAACTAATCAATCTTCTAAGATTCGTGCGCGTTTGTTATGTTTACATGTCGAAAATAAATTGGCGCGGCGTCTACAAAAGTTAATTCTTGTTTGCCAGGATTATTACTTTTCGGGTAAAGAGAAGCGACGACAGGAGGTACATCTGCGTTTGCAAGCTATTATAGAGCTGATGAACTTTTTGCCCAGGTACTAGTTCTATGCTATTTTTCATTCAACCATGATTTAAAATTAGCCTTTTGCAAGTCTCCTCCGTCTCAAAAAAAATCTTCGTTATCAAAACGCTATTTTTATGCAGAATACACGGTAGGTTTGGGGTTAGATCTAGATTACGCAGGAGAGAACGAGGAAATTTAGCGTTCTTTTTGGTACAGACGCAGTTCTTAGATCTGCACGATCCATAAGCAACCCTTTCCAATTTAAAACAGTTCTCGCCAATTGTGTTATAGTGGGTAACCTATACGGTAAATCTTTTTTACTGTCGATATTAATTTACAGCAGCCAGGAGCCCATCAAATTGATGGGCTCCTGCAGCAGCCTATGCTTTACTGAATACTTTCTCTAGAAATATTTGTCAAAATGAGTATAAAATGTATTGCCCCGACACGCTAAAACGTTTTTCTTTGGAGGCAGGGGCGGATCCAGGATTTTTTTAGGAGGGGGTGCACTCGTCTCTTGCTCTACTTCAACACCAATAAACCACATAGTTTTTTTGCAGAATACCAGTTGTATTAGAAAACCGCAGGTCATCTCAGGGGTGGGGTGGGGGGGGGGGGGGCCCACCCCCCGCCCCCCCCCCCTAGATCCGCCCCTGGGAAGAACGCAATTTTAATTTTTCTGTTTGCAGATCCCAGACTTTGCGTAACCAAGCTAAATTAGTGGTGAGCGAGATGGAGGCAGCGGCTACAAAGCAGCTTCAGGGATTGGCCAATCAGAGCGAAGCAACGATAGCCTCGCTTCAGCGCAAGCTCGATAAGGCCCAGGAACGAATCGAGGAGTTTCAAGCATTGGTGCGAACTCTTGTGGAAGAACTTCTTGCAAGTACGCGCGCGATGCGTCACAAACTAGACGAGCTACACGAAAAACAGTGGCGAGAAACATCGAGAACTGCTGCGAAAGAAGCTCGGAGCAAAGCTTGCTCAATACTGAACATTTCGTCCAAGGATCTAGAAAATATCATGGAGGAAAGCGCAGCTCAGAAGGAGGAAGAGGCGAGGTTGATGACAGAGCAAGAGAACGCATGGATGGCCGAAGTGGAATCCGCGCTGAAGCGTCAAGGAGCGTTTGCAGTTCCGCTTCTAGAAGTGTTACTGGATTTGGTGGATGAGCGAGTGGCTGCTGAAGCCAAATTTGCTGGATCTTAATGTTATACAAACCTCTCATAGGGGATGTCAAGACCTGATGGTCGCCTATGGGAGGGTCCATCTATGTATAGTACTTTGGTTGGCTACTGTAATAGGCCCCTTGCAGGTAACCACGCTGGAGAGCAAACGTCTCACTGGGACAAGACAAACAAAAGACATACATAATTTTAAATGGTAATTTTCTTTGTTTGTCTTGTCCCAGTGCGACTTTTTCTCTCCAGCACGGCACTTTTGTACCACGTGAATGGCTAGCTGCAAAGGGCCCATTTAAGAAATATAGAAAGTACAAGGAAAGACTTCTTGGCCTATTACTAGGGACAAAAAAATATTTGCCAATCGGCCATTTGCACGGTAGCGTTATTTTACTACAACGACCTGAATCTTTTCCGTTTTTTCCTTTCGTATTATTTAAATTTGGTAATTCCAGCGAGGTTAAAATAACAAAAGGCGTAATTTGTACAAGACAACAAAACCCTGAAGGATTCTGGTCTCAGTAGTAAAATGACGTCATCGTGCAAATGGCCTGTTGCTGACCTGCGCGCGATCGCCACAAACAATCCAAGAAATAATTGCGGGAAGTATTTTGTCTCCAGTTCCTTTCTGGCTTCTAAAGTGGCAAATTTGGATTAATGGCCGCACATGGAGACGTCTCCATATCGCAATCAAACAGTGCGCCTCTTGCTATTTCCTTAGCATTTGAAAATAGCCGACATTTCCTTACGCCAGCACACTGATTACCCAGCGAAATGACATCTCATGAACGAACGTACAAATTCCATACTGATGACGTGTCACTACACAGACCTGGGTAGTGGTTCTGATTGGTCGTGCCGCGAAAGAAATTTGCTTCAACCAATCAGAAGGACTACCTCTATGTGGGTAGTGACACGTCATCTACATGGAACTTCTGCGCTTGTTCCTCAGCCCTCATTTCGCGGAAACCAGTGATGACGTCGCGAAAAGTCGACTGTTTTCTCAGGCTGTTTTATACTTCATTGACTGGCTACAGTAATTTGCGTTCATGCCAATTCTCTAAGTCAAGTTACAATTAAGTAGGTTTGTAACTATATTTCTTGAATTTTTGTTAACCCTTTTCGTTCAAATGGGTCGTATGTGGGTGTATGACATAGAGGATATTACACGGTGGCGCGAAGATATGAATTTTATTTTCGAGTGGAAAAACAATATTTTACGAACGAGCGCAGCGAGTGAGTAAAATATTGTTTTTCCACTCGAAAATAAAATTCATATCTTCAAGCCGCTGTGTAATGTTCTTTTTATTATATAGACAAAAAGACATCGATAAAATAATAGAGGGAAATGACTGAAATTACGTCATCGATAAACTCACGTGTGAGATTATGGAAAATAAACCACTCGGGTCGCGGATGTAGTTTTTATGAATTTTACGAGTGGTATATTTTCCTGTAAAACACTCGTGTCTATATAATAAAGCCATTTACTGACCTATATTTAAAATGACGCGAGGACATTAAAGGTTATTTGCATTAAACAGTTTATTTGAACTCCAAAACCGTGTTTTTCTTTCAAGAAAACAAAAAAAATTGTCCATGTATTTAAAATACTAGCTACAAGAGAAAAACTATTGGCTTTATCTCTCTTCTCAGAACTTTAGAGCCCTTGCTTGTTTAACGAAAATATTAATACCGTTAATTTAGAGAAATATTTTAGTACCACAAATGGAACAATAGCTAAAAATAAAAGATGTACAAAAAATATACATTAAAACTAGCCAGACATATCCTTGTTGTAGAAATCGGGCGAAAAATTAACCACGGTGCCAGACCGTGGTAACGAGTTACGAGGTCTAGAACAACAATACCGGTCATACTTGAGACTAAAGCAAGTCGCTCTTTTTCAAGGTAATGAAAGCAGTTGTTATCGTTTTCTAAGCCCTTATTTAGGTTGGTCAGCGGCTGAAAATAAGAAAGGGTGCGCGCGATCTCTAACACCAAGTGATACCCAACGAGCAGTGTTAATTTTCGTCCCAGGGGCAAGCTCCACTTTCACATCTCCCATAATACACCTTGATTGCCCCCCAAATTCTTGCATAAGCATCTTCTTTAATTTCTCTTGGGACGACTGTAATACCCAGGAGAAATGAAAAAAAATGGTCGTGCAAAATTTTAGGGGGCAAACAAGGAGCATTATGCGAGAAATGGCAGTCCATAGGCAACCGAAAAAATCAAATCACCAGGGAATATTTTTCGACAAGATATACCGTAGTCTTCCAGGAGAAGCAGTAGATATAGATTTTTTCGTTTTCAGTGCCGCTCCTAGGCACAAGCATGGAAGAGAGTAGCTTGAAACCAAAATTCTTTTCACAAGCCTTTATGGAACTTTTCGGTCACCGGAGCCTAGAAACCAGGAATAGCTGGTTTTTCACTTCCTGACTTCGGCGCCTCAGAAGGCCAAGGAACCGTGGGGACAAGGGTCGTTAGCGTTTTCTTTCTGTCTTTTCGTTTTGCTTTACTGCTACCCTGATAAAAGAACGTTTGCTTACAGTCTTTTAACATCTAAAAACCTGACAAAAAAATACTAGAATAAATAAAATGGTGGTTGTTTGCAACTCTTTTCTTTTTTAATACCGGGTATATCTAATTTGGTGCATCTTTACGTTCCTGAAAGTCTGAAAGCCCAAAGGAGTACAAAAAATGGACGCCTTCAAAAGCGAGTGTTAAGTCTTAATACATTATCCGAGAAGCAACTCGAACAACTCGCCTTTGTTGATCTGAAGACTTGATGGACAGACTAAACGTGTAGTTAAGTTCGCAAACCCACGTTGAACGTACTAAAGAGCTACTTCTCACGATATTTCCAAAACTGTACAATTCAAAACTATGACAATTAACCTACTACATTTCTAGATTTTACCCAAATTCGAAAACTGTGCAGCTCTGTCACGTCACTATAATTCACAACTTTGACGTGACTGTCACGCTATTTTACCGTTAGCCATATTCTCTATTAACTATTCACTAGACGATATCTATCAAAATTTACATAATACAAGTATCTAATACCACCTACATTTGTTCTCGTCTTCTTTACTCCTTCTTACGGCTATTACTTGAACCGTCACGCAATCTTTCTTCCCGGGAGATCCGTTGCGTGACAGGCACAGTAATACTAATACATTAAGTGAGGGGAACCTTAAAGTGCCCCTAACCCTTCAATTTTTTTTCTTTTGGTAGATTTCCATATCTTTCAAGAACTCATTTTCGAAAAAATTTTTTAGAAATATTGAATCCTTTTTTTTTACGAGAGCTAGAAGTGAAGGCAGTCTTGTCAATATTTTCACCTATCGTTCGCATTAGTCCCCCACTCGGCCAAATGTGTCCAAATATGGAGCGTGACGTAAGAAAAGGACATCGTGCAAAAATATCCGAAGATTCGCGGTAATGCTTCAATTGTAAACAGAGAAGAGGACATATTTCATACCAATAATCTTCGATCGCACTATACTTTCAAGGATCCATACTTTCAATGCTTCGTGCTTTGGAATGGTGTCCTTTTCTTACGTCACAGCTAAGAAAGTGTCAAATATCGGACGCTTCTCATTGGCTCGTTCCTAATGAGCCCACGAGACAAACATTTGTCCAGCGGGGCTGAAAGGGCGAAAAAATTTAAAAATTTCAGTAACTTTTAGGGCTCGTAAAAAAAAAAGGATTCAATATTTCTAAAAAATTTTTTCGAAAATGAGTTCTTGACAGATATGGAAATCTATCAAAAGAAAACAAATTGAAGGGTTAGGGGCACTTTAAGGCCGAGATTTTCAACGAATACGTAAAAACGTAACCAACAATTACAAGGTGAGAAAAAAAAAGTGTAAAAAATATATGATACCAGGCACTTTTGCTACAAAGAAAGAGTGTTTGAAAACTGTCGTACATAATTGTGGGGGGTGAAAGCCCTTGTAACTTACTGAAACAGCGGTCGTGTCCGTCTTATACCATTCAAGCAGTTTGCACTTCACAAAATTCACATCAAGACTACATACTTCGGAAATTTAAAAATATAAAGAGAAAGCATCACTTTTACGGCAAACGACCGTTTTTAATTTCACTTATTACTTTCTAATTTTGCCGTTTTCCACGCGCAGGGAGAGTTTTTTTCACCAGAAACTTGAAAAACCGTTTTTCTGATTTCGCGTAATCATAAAGAAATAGGAAGGTAATCTCCCCAGCTCGCCGTTTGCCATGAACGCAATTACTCTCTCTAATTTTAAACTGCATTTGTCTTTGCGCGCAAAACACCCTCTTCTCACTATCTTAGAAATGAGAGGGGGTTCTGCGCGAACTATCTATCCAACACTACAAATTCTGAATATTGCTTTGTGGTGCTTCATTCTTAAAAGGAAACTTTTTATCTCTCAGCTATCAGGCCACAAATTTGTTCAATGAAATTGCCAATTCGCCCGTAAGAAAAAATCCAAACCGGTTTTTCATGTCATAAGCGAATGACTGTTACTATGGACAACCGACCACAACCAATGCCGGTCAACCTCACAAAGACAAAGTCACACACCTTGCTGACACTGTAGGCTAGATACAAGAGAGTTACTGACATGTGAGAGTAGAATTTATGTCTTACCATGACAGAACGGAGCGCACGAGGAAAAATAGTTCTAATTATTTCGTTAATTATATTAAATTCCTATACATCTAAAACATGACGCCGGATTTAATGAAAGTACATTCCATATCCTAACGTTTAAAAACCTCGAGATGTACTACAGAAGAAAAATCGAAAGGTTGCAAGGTCTTTGGGTTTGGAAGCTAAAAACCCGAGGCCTTTCCGATTAAACTGAGACGGTTTGAAGGCATTTAACTGTCCAAGCTACGCTACAGATAACTCAAATTATTAGAAGGTAAGATTTTTTAAACTTCGACCTCGCCTGGTAGATACTCGGTCATCCTCATGTAGGCACTTCCCTCGTGATGATGGTCACGTGGACGCTCTTGTTCCACTGGTGTCGGTGAAGACGTATCTTCGCCCGACCCGTCCGTCTGATTTTTAGCAAAGTTTATGAACACCTAAAATAGAGAAACAAAACGCAAGTCGAGTTATCCACTCCACAGGCCAAACTGTACCCAAATAATTAGTGAGGGATACAGAAAACTTAGAGAAAGAGGGGTTACCGAAATCTGCCCCTAATAAGCCCCCCCTCCCTCACTTATAGCCACCATCACCACCTTTCCCCCCCCAACCCAGTTGTAGGCCCATTTACCTATAAACTTCTGATTATAAGCCCCTCCTCTCAGATGCAAGCCCCCCTTTACTTCGTAATAAGCCCCCCACCGGGTATAGCCCCTCCGTTTATAAGCCCTGCTAAGTCCCCTTACGAAGATGTAAAAGCTTACAAGCGGCGTTTACGAAGACAATTTCAGACAAAAAAGGGGACGGGGGAAGGGGTAGGGGAGGACGCACTAAATCCGGTACAGCGCTCTACCAATATTCAGCTAGTAAGCCAACTGGGAGCCGCTCACTTTACCAATTCGTGATATACCCATAGAAGATATAGGTATCTGAAAGTGCGGAATATCTGAGAGAAAGGTCTAACGTGTAGCTGTTAAGTGCGCAAGGATTTTCTTTGACTGAGAGGAATTCCGAATGAAAACTGTGCGTTCCTCCTTAGCTGACGATTTAGTTTTAAACTTTTCCACTGTTGAAACGTTATGAATAGCAACATTCTAACCAACCTGATCAAGTGTTGTCTGTGAAACTGAGTAATCTTCGATGTCAAAAATCTTTCGGTTAGCTTCTAAATGACCAAAAACCTTCGAAAGAACAAGTCCTTGAGATGGGAACTGATATTCAAGCTGGTTATGATGTTTGTCCTGAAATAAATAAAAATAAACGAAAAGATAAAGAATAAAGAAATCGAATCAATTTCAGTTATACTCACATCTCGAATTGCTGAAGTTACAGTTCTCACACAAAAGAAATAACATTGCAAAGGATATCTCTTGGCGGTAGTCAATAATCATTCCCACCTACCACGCACAATAGGACAATTCAGAGTTCCAAACACTTTCACTTTGAAAACGAGGCTTAGTGCAAAACCTTGTGAAACTCAGTTTAGTTTGCATGAGAATGTCTTAGCTCTTAGCCTCTGTTTGAAACAGAGGCATAGTGCAACTCTTAAGTGAACTATTGCCGTTCAATACGCGTGATAAAGTCCGACCACAGTTTCGCTTTGTACTAACAACGTGGCATCTTTCAGAAGAGAAAAATTACTTTAAGCTATGCGAGTGCAAAATTGGCTGAATTTCGTACCTTCAACACTGCACCGGGGAACAGGCTACTAATAAACTCTGACACAGCGTCCAAATTGGGCTCTTCTCCTCCGATTCGCAAAGTAACCGTGTATCCATCTCCATACCTTGAGAAAAAACGAAAGGAATTCGTCATAATTCTTAGGGCAACAGAACCACTTCTATGCGGCAAAGTGTATTTTAGACAAAGGAAGACGAGAAAAAACAAAAAACAAAAAACAAAAAAACTATTAGAAGGCTTCTTCGTGACATGAGACGGCTTGTTATACTTTGTTCAGTTCTTGTTGTTTTTCTGGGGAGTGGACTAGGAGAGGGGAGCATGAATTCCTGCTGACCACACTTAAGCCTCGTGTTAGGCGTTACGTTCAAAATTCAATTCAAGCTCATAGGCTCCTGTTGCGACCAAGTATCTTTCCCCACCAAACCCACTCGGTCCTATACTTGATCAGACATTATGGAAGTAGTAGTTGTAGAGGGTTACTTTTCTAGTGAAGGTTAAGTGTAACTGTACCAGCTAGGGCTACTGGCACAGAAATTTGTTCGCAAGCTTGCCATGGATACCTGCCTCATTGCCTTGAATCCCTAAATTTTCTACTAGGCACATGTTCTCACGCACATTAACCGACGATGAGCTTAAAGAGCGCCACTGTTCTACTATTATAAAACGCCGCAACATTGTATTCATACCTCCTACGTTGCCCGCAAGCTGTGAAAAGTTTTATAGTCCTAGTAACTTACTTGTTTTTCAAATGCTGTGGACTACCAAGACATTTAAACTGTCCATTAACCATGATTCCTAAACGACTACACAGATTCTCACACTCTTCCATACTGCAAACAAAATGGTAACAGCAAAACACAGTTTAAAAGTGTGGCCATTCAATGAAAGGTACTTGGCAGTAATTTCCTTTTATTTTTATTCATTAAGGTATAAAGGATATTTCCAACATGAGCACTACCTTCCTGTGGTACTGTTTATTATGGTGTACAAGGTGGTTCTAACTTTTGAGTCTATGGATGAAGTCCTTAAGTGTGACCATTCAAATGAAAGCTACTGAATAGTACTTTCCTGTGGTACTGTTTGTTATGCTGTACAAGGTCTTTCTAACTTTTGAGTCTGTGGAAGAAATCCCTAAGTGTTACCATTCAAATGAAAGCTACTGAGCAGTACTTTCCTGTACTGCTGTTTAATATGCTGTACAAGGTGGTTCTAACCTTTTGAGTCTGTGGATGAAAACCTTAAGAGTTACCACTCAAATAAAAGCTACTGGGCAGTTCTTCCCTGTGGCACTGATTATAAGCTATCCAAGGTGGTTCTTACATTTTGGTTTGTGTATTGATTCTCACTATAGTGAATGAGTGACTGTTTCAGTGACCTTACCTGTGGGAAGTTAAAATAACCGTGCGGCCCTCCTTAACAATTCCAGTGATAATATTCCACAGGAATCTGCGAGCTTTTGGGTCCATGCCAGTTGTGGGTTCATCCTGCAAAAAGGACAACCGCAATGTGAGTAACTTATTTGTGTTGTGACCACAAACCAATTAAATAGTCACGTCATCAAGTGGGAAAAAATTGTGCTAGTTTCCTCAACATGAAGATTTCGGATCATCATACATTTCTGGGAAAATGCCCACCTACCCCTCCCTTAAGCCAACATTTTGCCCTAAGTGAGAAGTAAGTGCTAATGTTGGCCTAGGGGAGGGGTATGTGGGCGGTTTCCCAGAAACGTATGATTTTTGTCTTCTTGATCGAGAAGGAAAAACGGAGGCTCTACTTGAATCTCTTCCGGCCTCTGAGGTCGCCGCAGCCCCAACTTTTGGCTAGTCAATCTTGTTTTCTCTCGTCAAACTGTTTTTTTTTTTGGGCGCGAGTTTCCGTTTATTGATGAGCCGACAGTCATAACCAAGCGCGCTGTAGCAAGCGCACGGCTTTTAGGCCTGGGTTCGAAAGTATATCCTACCAACACGCCACGTATGCTTAACAAAATTCTTCCTCGATTCATACATAATACAGTCTTTCTCGAGCAAGCAAAAGAAAAGAGCTGCTGGCAGGGGTTGTCAAATAATCTAATTTGAAACTTAGGACAATCAAGGATGCTTACAAGGAAAACGATTGGTGGATTGCCGACCAGTGCGATGGCTGTGGACAGCTTCCTCTTGTTTCCACCACTGTACCCCCCAGCGCACCTATTTCTGTACTCACTGAGATTCATTCGAAGAATGAGACTGTCGACAACCTGAAAACAAAGGGAATTATTACTTCCGGCCCACAATCCAACATTTTCAAGATACTTGCCATGCGCATGTTAGCCCGGCATCAAATTTGACGTCTATGCTTAACGTCATTTATCGCGCGTTTTTCGAAGTTCAATACATTTAGGTCATCCGGCAGGTTGAATTGTTAACGTTAATTACTTTATCACATTCAAGTCGACCTCTTACTCACAAAAAATTCAATTCATTCAGCGTACGCTGACGTCACAACCAAAGCTCTCAGATGGATAGATTACCAATTACCTAACAATGGGGCTACGATACTATCACGCACAGTAGATGTAGTTACAGTTTACAACGTGACGGCAGAAAAATAAACATAACATAACACCTTTCTGCATAACAGAAAACAAGTCAAACCTGTTCCACATCTTTCTCGGGAACTCCTCTGAGCCGCGCGTACAGCTGAAGGTGTTCAGCGGCTGTCAGTAGGTTATCAAGCCCGTCAAACTGAGGACAGTAGCCCATGGATTGATGAGCGTTATTTATGTTGCTTAAAATGCTATAAAAGGAGAGAATTTCGAAACAAATTAAGTGGTGCTCCGTAATAAACGTAAAAGGGTGTTAGACACAAGTAGCCTGAGAAAACAGCCCACATTTCGCGACGCCACCGCGAATTGACAACTTAAGAACGAGCGCAGAAATTCCATACTGATGACGTATCACTACCCAGATCTGGGTAGTGCTTCTGATTGGTGGTGCCGCGAAGGAAATTCGCTTCAACCAATCAGAAGCACTACCCTTATCTGGGTTGTAATACGTCATCAGTATGAATTTTTGCAGTCGTTCTTTTGGCGGGAAAACTACTGTTCGTGTCGCGTAATCTCCCCTGTTTTCTCTGGCTAGAATACAAGGCACAGCGAGTAGTTAAAACTGGACGAAACGCGAACGCTAACTTAGAAACGTGAGGGAATTCCAATGGGCTGCAAATCGAGAAATGAGAAAAGAGAGCGATATGACAATTTCAGTTTGTTTACCTGTGGCCATCAACAAACGCCTCTCCTTCGGTCACTGATATATCTCCTGTAAGCATTTTGAAAGTGGTGGTTTTGCCAGCTCCGTTTACACCTAACAGGCCAAAACACTAGAATAGAGAAAAACAAAACATCACGCGTTTAAAACCACTAAAAAGTAATGTAAAAGTGTTATTTGAACAAAGAGTTGAGAATGTTTTAATTTATCCCCTCTCTTACCCTGGGTTTAATAGATTGTAAAGTGCTAACCTGTGATCTGGCGATTGATACAAACAGGGGGAAAAACAGAACATTTCATGGCACGTGCTTTTTTCAGTTGCTTTAAATCACTGGGAGGGAGCACCCTCGAAACGTCTGGTTTTTTCGTGCCGTTTAAATGCACATTTTAATAAACTTTGTAAAACTCATCGGAAAAAAAGAACGCCTTCCTTTCCGAGGGCCATATAGAGATATGGTGAGGGTGTGATCGCAAGCTTGTAAAATGCACAGTTTCAATCATTACACAAGAAAGACTAAACAAGGATTCATTGTTTTTCAAAACGTCTCACCTCGCCTTTGGGGACTCCGACGCAAAGTCTGTTGACAGCTACGTTTCGTCTTTTTCTAGACTTGTACACCTAAAACACGAATGTACGTATAAAGACTCAGTTATATAGACAATCGTTGCTCGCGAACATTAAAGGTATGCAGAGTTTCCAAGCGCTTTATATTCATTGACAATAACCGAGGAATAGCTGTGATAAAGAGTTGCAAAGAGTTGGGAAGTAATCGAAATAGAATTTGGAATTAATGGCCTTTGAGGAGAAGGGGAAAACCAGAGTCATTGAAGAAAAACCTTTCAAACTGAAGCTATAAATAGCGTCGCCTCCGAGATTTGAACCCCAAAAAATTGGTTACGATACGCGACAACAAAGCTTCTTGGGGTTGTTTATTTTTGTCGTCCCCCCAACCGATCCCTTGACCCTTTGCGATCTTTTAAGTCGTTCGGTACCAGTTCCCGCTCGTTTTGAACATGGCTAATTAGTTCTTCATTGACATTACGAACACTCCAAAAGTGACGAAGTTCTGACTGTTACCTTAGTCAGATTGTTCAGTCGCAAAATGTCATTGGTCCCTCCTCCTCTTTCAATACGCTGCCTTTCTCGTTCCACGTCATCATCCTCGTTCTCCACTGGCTTAAGTGACACTTTAACGCGCCTGGCGAAATGAGAATGAAACGTCTCAAATTACTTTAAATCGGCAGGATTAGCTCAGTCGGTGAAGCGCTCGACTGCATAGCGGGAGGTCGCGAGTTCGATTCCCGGGGTCGAAGCAATACTCAGAGTCTTAAAATAACTGCGAATGGAAGGTACTGCCTTTGCTCTACAAATGGCTAGACCTTCGAGTGGCTCGGATGACCATGGCATAAAATGACGGTCCCGACTCAAGAGGGAGACATAAATATTATGTCCCCAATTAGTGCTTTCGTGCTCAATACATTAATAATCCAATAAAGCACAGTCTTTTGAAGTCCCCGAAAGCAAGGTGAAGAAGACGCAACAAATCACAGCAAATAGGAATTCAGGCCACGTCCGATTTCCAAAAACCTTTGCATTCAACGCGAGGCCAAGCAAATGATATGGAAAAACCTTTCATAAGATGACCCTTTTATATCGAAGACTTCGCACTTAACCTCGTTTTAAAAAAAGAAGTTTCGGGTAACTCGAAAATGGTCTCTTAGCCTGCGTAAAAAGCACTACCCGACGAAGTGAAAGGGAACGCTTGCTACACAAATTCAAGTAAAACGAAATCACATGACGACTACGATGCACAGAACACAAGAACCTTAAGGCCTGAATTTCGCTTTTAATTTTAGCAAACTAGTACACCACAACTTGACATAAATCGTGCAATACATGAACTGGCAAAAGAAATTTTAAGAATACCATGCAAGTAAGCTGTTTCTTTAGTTTACGAAAATGACTCTCAAACAAGGCATTAAAAATACACCAACCTTTGAGGAATAAAGAAACGGTACTCGATGAGGACAGTGATGACGAAAAACAAAAATCCTTGAATGATCATCATGAAAATATTTCTTCCTGTAATATCCCAACTGAAAGGATCTCGAACAAGATTAACGCCTAAAACGAAAGACGTAAACGAACAATTGAAATAAAAAATAAATGAGAAACTGTAAACAGTTAATGGCGACAGAGAGGCAGTTGATGCTTAAACTCAGGAAAAGTTTGGAAACTTACCAAACCTCTCAAAGACATCCATGAACTGATTCTTGGCCAAATCGATCAGTCCACGACCCAAACAGTAGTTGGGAAAAATCAAGAAGATTGTCTTTAGCATGTCGTTGATTTGAATCAGTTCCTTTCAGAAAGAAAAAAATAAATAAATACCAACACCAGTGAGAACCACCTTGTGCAGCGTATTGATCAGCATCACGGGAAAGTACTTCTCAGTGGCTTTCATTTGAATGGCCACACTTTAGGATTTCATCCACAGACTCAACAGTTAGAGCTACTTTGTAAAGCTTAATAAACAGCACCATAGGAAAGTACTGCTCAGTAGCTTTCATTTGAACGGTCACACTTAAGAATTTCCTCCACAGACTCAAAAGTTGGAACCTCCTAGTACAGCATAACAAACAGTACCACAGGAAAGTACTGCTCAGTAGCTTTAACATGATAGACCACAGGTTAGGTCATCGCTTACTGCTACCCTCAAGATTAGGAGACCAGTTTCCGATCATTATACGTCTCTGGGAAACTGCCCACCTACCCCTCCCCTAAGCCAACATTTTGCTCAAAGTGAGAACTAGAAATGTATACAGTAAAAACCCACGAGTAAGAACCTAAGATTTAAGAACCTGTTAGGCTAAAATTTGCCATTAAGACCCCCTCTATATAAGAACCTCTTTAGCCTAAAACTTGGAGAAAGGTTCTTATTTTCAAAAATCATTTTAAAATATTTACTTAGGTCATTGAGAAAATGTTTATAATATTGTGTTTTACAGCACAATCACGTATATAAAGTTGTTTTGACTCAAGAAATTAAAATTCGTGTGAGAATAGATCTCTATTATGGTCATATTAAAATACAAGCAATCATTAGGTATGGAAATTTAAGGGTGCTGATCACTAAAATCTTCTTAGCAACGACATATTTTTTTTGCAAGAAATTAAGAACCTATTAAGAACCTAGATAGCCTAAATTTATGTTAACCACCATTTATGTAAGAAACGCTGGAAAAATGTAGGTTCTTACTCGTGGGTTTTTACTGTAATGATTCCGAGTTTCTTACCTGATCGTCGGTGAAGAATTCCAGAATGAATGTCGCAAGCGTGGTGTTGATTCCAATGAATAAGTTAACACAAATGAGCACAATATAGGCCGTGCTTGACTCGGTAAACAAAAATGATGCTGGATACATTAACGGAGTGATTGCCCATCTGAAAGAAAATTTTAACACGAATTTGTGATTGCAAATCTATTTTAAGAGTTCAATCCTTTTTAGTTACAAAAAGCTACCTCCTTCCTTCTTTCGCGAAGATTAGGCCTAGACTACCATCTTGGACTAAGTATTGTTAACAAGCATAAATGTCGGCAGTACGGTAAATCCTCTATTACGCCGCCCCACCCGGGTGATTATTAATTTCAAGTACGATTGCCGGGGGGGGGGGGGGGCTTATTTGGGAGGGACGCTCATTTGAGTGTGAACAAATGATACGAAAACGCTGCTGTGGACGAGAAACTTTTTCGGTGAACAAAATAAGCCTGCGGCTTCGAGAAAATCAAACCCACGACTGACTTACACAATACGATACGCAAACTGCACACGATTAATTTGTTCCATGTTAATTGAATCTTATATTTGTAGTTAGAAAGATCTTGCTCAACTTACCCATACAAAAGAAGAAGAAGGAACGTTGGTGGAAAATTCGCAGCTGACGTGTAGGAATCTTCTCCAAACGCCAAGAAAATGAAAATACAGCAAAGTGCTGGAATAACATAGTTTCCCTGAAAGAAAGAGGCCACAAAAAGGCATAAGCCGTACTTTATCCATCTTTTCTAGGGCAGGAAATGCAAATATAAGCCTTTTACCAGTTGAAAGTTTTACAGTCTTGTGGCTTACCAAGTCCCAGACGTACGTAGACAGCCAGTAAATATAAGGACGAACACCGCTGACCAAGTGCAGGTGCTTAGCTTTGCATTCCCGCTCGCAGACCAAGTAGACGACAAAACTGGCAGGAACAAAGGATAAGGCAAACACCACGCAGATCGCAACAAGTACGTCTATGACACGGTTGTAGCTGAAAATGAATAGCACATCGGTAAGTTTTTGCGTGAAAGCACGTTGTGTTGATGTTATCAAACATTACTATCTCGAACATGATTATAGTCATTAAGCACAGTATCTAGGAAAATCCGTTTTTTAACATAAAACAAGTAAATCTGGTCATAAAATTTCAAATCGGGTGGAAAATCGGCAAAGGAAAAATTGATTACGCCGAGCTACAAATACGATATTTTTTTATTCTCATTGTCACCATCATTCGATCGTCGCGTCATAATTGCCGACATCATCATCGCCATAATCATCATCATCATCATCCTCATCAAAACTATCACGATTTTTGATACTATCATTGACATCAATATGTACTTCATATAGTCGTCATCATTATCATCATCACCATTTTTGACACCAACATTGAAATCAATATACTGTAGTCACCATCATTATCATCATCATCGCCATCACTTAAGTAATAATCTCATTTTAAAACAGTGTTTGTACTGTAGTTTCCAACACCTTTGTATAGAACAGAATAACTTTAGACTTACAAGGTTTCATCGCTAAGTTGTTCTTTTGTATAGTTCATTGGGTGGTTCATTGTGCTGATGCCTGCAAGGAAAAAGGAAAGAACATAAAAAGTTAAAATAGTTATCTGTTTTAATGTAAGGTAAAATTTAGTAACCGATAATTAGACTTAATTTCAATGAATTGTAACTGTTTGTGTGTAAGGAATTTAAAAAAAGGAAACAACAACAACGCTTTAGCCATCGATAGAAATCAAGTGCCTTCAAGACGTCAACTTACATGAACCTACAACACCTGGGCCTAACAGAAAGAGGAATAATGTAACGCAACAGTGAAAAATCGTGACATGAACCGACAACAAGCCCCGGTAGTTCAAACGTTGGATAGCGCTATCCACCGGATAAATCACTATCCAGCGATACGTACAGTGGAACCCCGCCTTACGACCACCTCGTTACTAACACCATATTCTTTCGACCCAAACGAAAAAATCACTGACTCGTTTTATTACTTTGAAGACCCGTTAATGCGACCACCTTGTTGTTACGACCAGCATTTTATGGCCCAACGACGGTCGCATTAACGGGGTTCCACTGTATAAGTATTAGGGAAACCAATTTCGCTATCCAGTGGATAGCGTTAATCCACCTTTTGAACAACTGGGGTAGGAAAAGGAATAATGTAACGCAACAGTGAAAACTCGTGACATGAAACGACAACACCTGGCACTTAAGAGAAAGAGGAATAAGATAACGCGACAGTGAAAATCCGTGGCATAAAATGAACTACGACCGCGTATCTTACCAAATCTGGACGCGTTTAATCCCTTCTCAGCAGCTTTGCTTCTCAGAATTATATTGTTGAGTACATTTAGAAATGTCGGAGCAGCGTGATAGCCCTTGGTGTTGTACCAGGCCTGTAAAAATACAACAAGAAATTACTACAAATTACAATCTCCACTAGCTTGAGTGTGTATAAGAGCACTGAAATAAAGGATACTAAGCTCTGCTTTCTCATTGCACTTTTGGCAAAAGTAGTATTTGAGCCTTTTCACTCACGTGGTCAGCACCCCTGCAAATGTATCTTGGAAAAAAGGACGTTTTTACATAAGGAAATGATTCCAACCAGACAGGACTGGTTTGTGACACCAACATGCAGGGCCGTCCTTTCATTGTTTTGGGACACCAATATGACGAAAGTGACGTAATGTGAAAACACTTGTCAGTAATAAAACGTACAATTTTTAAATTGAAAGTAATCACTGAGTTGCTGTTCTCAGGGCTATTCTTTTGAATAACTATGGCAAACTCTTTACGCCACAATGAGGACATTTCACGCGTGTGTATGTGTGTGAGGTTTGGTTTGTTCTACGAGGTGATTCCAACATAATCTAACAAACGCCACCAAAAACTCTAAAAATCTCAGTACAAGTTGCCAATGGGGAAGTACTAAATGCCCATCATCGAAAAGCCCTTACTTTAGCATTGTACTGTTTGAGGATTCCCGTGATGGAAGATGAGTTTGACTGCGTGAAGGAAGTAGGAAGGTTCTGGAAGTTGTCTCCAAATGTCAGACTTCCGTACCTAGGGGAAAAAGAACGAGTATTAAATTAAAAAAAAAAAGAAAAACCGGTAACTTTTGCACAACAGCAGCCTTAATGTAGCTCGCGAGGATACTGCTTTGCTTATAACAATGATTCTTGTATTAACACGCAAATATCTGCAAGGTAGAGGATTTAAAATACATGTACAACCTTTAAAAGTGTTCTCCTAAAAGCCCAAATGGATTGTTCTCTCCTCGTTTAGCCTTTGGATCATTCTCTTACCCCGTCCCACCTCTCCCCACTTTATTTTTTCCAATGATAAATCAGTGTGTCAGGTGCCTGGTACCATTGGCGTGGGAGCTCACGGCTGGAATACGCGGGTTTGCCAGCCATCGGGGCGTACCTCTGTCTAAGGGCTGGCTTTGCCAAAAGTGGAAGCCCCTAGAC